TAACTGTGTATTTATTGGTCTTACATTAGGAAGTGTAAATTTTATACACTTTGTTTTGCTGGAATTTAATAATAGGTTATTACATGTAAACCAATTTAATATAGCAGACATAGCACAATTTACATCGTCTAATTGATTAGTTTGACGTCCAATTTTAAACAATAACGAAGTATCATCCGCAAACAGCACTATATCTGCAATTTTCTCTACCATAAAGGGAAGGTCATTTATGTAAATTAAAAAGAGAAAGGGGCCTAAGATTGACCCTTGTGGAACGCCCATCCCAATATTAGCTCCCTTAGATTTTATACCGTCAATATCTACAGTTTGAACCCTATCCTCTAAATAAGTTCTCATTAATTTTAGATCATTATCTTTTATACCATAATGTTCGAGCTTGTACAAAAGTGTTTTATGATCCACGCAATCAAATGCCTTTGATAGGTCACAAAAAACTCCGAGTGCATCCTGTGACTTCTCCCATGATTGGAAAATATGTGTTATCAGCGCTACACCTGCGTCAGTGGTAGACTTGCCGGCGGTGAAACCATATTGTTGACTGTGAAGCAGTCGGTTATCCCTAAAGTGTTGTAACATTTGATTTAACATTATCTTTTCAAACACCTTACTTAGAACTGGCAAAATAGACATAGGTCTATAGTTCCCTGGCTCAAATTTATCACCTGATTTAAATAGTGGGATTAATTTGCTAAATTTCATTAATTGTGGAAAAATGCCATTATCAATACATTTATTAAAAATAGTAGCTAGATATGGAGCAACAATATCTATGAAAGAACTAACTACTTTTACAGACATGCCCCAAAGGTCTTCTGTATTTTTTAAATTTAGATGTTTGAATATTTTTATGATATGAACGGGGCTAACATGTGAAAATTTAAATCTTAAAGCACAACAACCGATATTAGACTCTAGTAATACTTTTGCTCGAGATGGAGATGAGTCCAGAGAAGATGTAATGTTAATCGGAATGTTAGCAAAAAAATCTTCAAAAACATTAACTACATCTTTTGTTGCTGTTATTAATTTATTATCATAATTTAATGCAAATTGATTATAGGCTAATTTAGATCTTCCGGTTTCTTTATTTATAATGCCCCAGATGGTTTTAATTTTGTCAGAAGACTGGTTAATTTGTTTATTAATATAATTAGATTTAGCCGTAATACAAACTTTTTTAAAAATTTTCGAATAATTTTTCACATAAGTGGTGAATTTGTCATCAAATCGATATTTTTTTTGATCGTATAAATCAAACAAAATATTTCTACTTTTAAGTATACCTACTGTTGCCCATTCCGTGAATTTAGATTTAACATAAACTTCTTTTTTCTTGAAAAATTGTTCATATTCTCCTGATAGAATAGTAATTAGCTTGGTGTAAAGATAATCAGGATTATTACTAGATTGTAACAGCAAATCCAATTTATTTTTAATCGCGCTTTTGTATTTGTTAATATTGTAAACATTATTTGTCTTTTTGATTTTTTATTATTGTTGACTTTATTGATCTGACTGTTAAACTTAACAACTTGACCACAGTGATCTGAAGGAAGTTTATTTATTATGAATTTTTCTGTATACTCACAGTTACAAAAAACATTGTCAAGACAAGTAGCAGACGTGACAGTTACACGAGTGGGTTCATGAAAGACATGACTTAAATCAAATGATTGAAATAAACTAATAATTTTTGTACATGTGGGTGTGTTACAAAGAATATCAACGTTAAAATCTCCACATACAATAATTTTTTTAATACTATTAAATATTTTTTTTTAATATATCCTCCATCACCCCTTCAAATACATTGTAATCACTATTAGGAGGCCTGTACACACATATAAGGATATAATTTTCTAGTTCTATACAAGATAATTCTATACAACACTCAATAGAAAGTCTAACAATGTCAGCACGTTCCTTTACTTTAATATTATTTCTTGCAATTATCATAGACCCGCCTCTGTTAACTGACTTTCTATTGAAGCAGCTGACAACGTTATAATTATTTAAATTGAACATCATATTGCTCTCTTTAAGCCAATGTTCTGTGAAACAGACAATATCAATATTATACTTTTCTAAAAATAATTGTATAATTAACTCGCTGCCGGGAAAACTTTGTATGTTCTGATGAACAATTATTAATTCTGATTGCTTTCCCTTTGTCTTTGTGAGCAGTTTAAATCTGCAGTCATAGTATTTATGTCACAAATATTAATAGAATTATTTGTTATGTCAGTATTTTTATGTTTAAGTTTACCATGTAAACTGTTCATGTAGTCAATATTATAAGCCACTAAAGTGGCTATTTTATTTTTAGATAATTTAGAGAGATACATTGTATCTTTTGTCAAATAAAAATCACTAATAAAACTATTAGTATCAAAAAATGTAAAAATGTCACTATGACGACATGTCAATGTATGTAATAAGTTGTTCAGGTAATGTACCTTACTGTTAATTTTTTTATGAAGATGTCCTTTTGTGTAAGGAAAAGCGCACAATACAATCTTATACACATTTAATTGTAATAAATATTCAATTCCTTTAATTACATCCTGCCTATTTAATTGAATACTATTACCAAAAAATAACACAATTGTGGTCATATTGTTCATTTTCGTAGACTTTATTTTATTTATTATTTGTGTAAATGATGCTTCTGGCATACAGTAGTTTAATAAATCACCCTTAAGATGATACTTCAAAATAGACCCAAAGTTACAGCCTATTCTGTCAGAGAACACCATTGTGCTACTCTTAGGGTTACAGTCACTGGCACAAACACCCTGAACTTCATTTTCCAGCACAGTTACAACTGAATTATTATTTGATATATTTGTGTGATTACATGTACAATGCTTAGTCAACGACTCAAAACGGTCAGCATTGTATTTACTGACATCAATCAGATCATCCATTGCTAAAATATGCTCCTGGATTTGTTTCTGAGAGATAATATACTTTGTATTTAAATCATGAAGCGAAGATTCTAAACTATTGATTTTTGAAGTTAGGTAGTCTGTATCAATGTCATATAACTTTTGGCTTTCCACTAACTTATTATTACATATATTAATGTAATCATGCAATTTTAAATTATTTAAAGTGTTTTTTTTCAATAACTGTCCCTTTTTGCAACGCTTATTTAATATATTCCGATTCTTAATTATAAACTTTTTTAGTTTTAAATATTTTTTTAATTTATTATTACTCAACATACAAATGTTACTGTTATAGTTGCCTAATTTAGGTGATGTATCACTAGTAAGGTCAATTACAACAGGATGGGTGCATGGAACTGTAGTAGAAGGAGGCACACAGTCAACACTAATAAGTTCCTCATATAAATTACTAATCTCATTATTTTGTTGAGATTCCAATCTTGTGTCTAGATCATTGATTTTAGAATATGCCTGCTTTAACTCAAGCTCCAATTCAGTGATACGCCTCAAGGCTTGCTCATGAGTGTCACTACATTGATGAAAGCTACTTATTAGTTCTTGAAGCTGATTAATGTTCTATTGCTAGGTAAATCTCCATTTATTACAGAGATTCTCTTTAATACAGAGTCCACTTTTTATAACATATTGATTATAGACTACTGTTCAAAACTCCAACAAAAATAATGTTTTAAATCTTTTTAGTATTTTTATATTTTTAATTTTCAAATAAAGAACTGTGAACTGTGTATTTTCGAGAAGAAAAAACAAAAGACAATCGTGCGTCCTTTGTTTTTTTTTCTTCACATTATTGTTACTACGCTGATTATATTAAAATTATTATATTTATTTATCTAGATCAAGCTATTAAGGACTCTTATTATAAATACCTTATGGAGTAACATAAGTAACATATATGTATAAATTGTCTCTGTGGTTACGAAAAACATCTGGAAGTGAAATAAGCTATTAAAAATGTATGCAGGCGAATCCGCGTGCAACGTGTTATATAAATTGTTATAATTATTGCCATTGATAAATTAAGAAACAGGAACGTCAATATATAAAAATTCCCTGAAAATATTTCAAATGGCCTCAATATTGTAATAAGAAAAATTCCATTCTTGCATTGTAATGTGGGTAAATGTACATGTCATGTTCTCTGTGCCAATTAAATAAATTAATGGCACTATCCACTTATTTATTTGGCACAATGAATTACATTTATAATTATACGCGTTATTCCTAGGAATTATTATTATTTACACTAAAAAATGCCCTTGTCAAAGAGACGACAAAGTCGGCACGTTAAAAGCTTTAATACTCTACAATCGTATTGTACAGTCACGTTCAATAATAGGAGTATATAAGACACATTTTTAATAGCCTGATTTTATTAAAACTGTCTCTGGCAAAAGTGGCTCTTGTAAAAAATAAAAGAGGGAAATTTTACCCCAAACCGCTTTAGTTGAATTGAATTGGTTAAATTTAACGTATATCATGGTATCATTATTTAGATATATTTAAATATTACATATAATGTTTATTTTAATATGATATATATATATTTAAATGTTATATAAAGTAGTTGCCTGCTCCGATTTCGCTGAGAGTGTCTACTAACTCTGAAAATTAAAGCAAATGTAAAAGGAATAGTACGACCATGTAATGGAATAAAAGTACAATAAAATACTAGTATTTGTTAGTTCAGATTTTTTTTAAAGCGACTTGTTTCGCTTTCAAATCTTGGTGTGGCAATTACACGTATTCGTCAGGCAGGAGTTGGCTTTCAGCCGCTCCATGAGTCTTTCCGATGGTTTGGTGTGCCATCTACATTCGCCTCCTATAGTTCGGTGAAGCTGTAAAAATTATGTGCGGCTAACAGCATTAGAATAGTTCGAAAAAAAAATAGGTTCAATTAGAAACACAACATAAAATCGAGCAAGTCCACAATTGACAATGCTTCTGACCACTTTTGGGATAACAGTCCTGAATATGTTATTTATATATATTTCTGATGTATTGTTGCAGTGATAGATGGTTATGCACGGACCAATGGCGCCGCAAGTCCCGCCTCGTCCCGGCCGACCGTGGATTCGCTTCTCGATCAACTTAGCACAGACATACCCAATGGGTGAGTATCTACTACGCAACGTTATTTGATACACAGCATATATTTTTTAAGGATAATAATGGAGTTTCCCCACCTGTGCTAATGGTAAAATTCACTAGGAATTAATCATAATGGTTTCCAGGGGAAATTAGTGAGGGTCAACGTTACTTGGTACATTGCTAGCAATGGTCCTCTACACCCGTATACAACATATTGGAAGGGAAGGGATTGTTAGTAATTATTTAGTACTAACAGTCCTGTTGTAGTAATAAGAAAAAAGACTTGGTAAAACGGAGAAAATATATTAATATTAAAATACATATCTGATTAGCCAGTTACAACAAGTCCCTTCCCACATTACTAACAATACACTGTTTCAGGTGACCTCAATTATCGTGTTTAATTTCTGGTGAATTCACCACGATAGGCTAACTAACCTTATTTCTCTTTCTCTTAGCTCATGCTGTCATCCTCTATTAATGCCCCGTAAGCTCATATCATTAGTGTAGGCACCATTTTTATAATTCCATTAGAAATTCGCTGTCTATTTTTTTGCAACCCTCTACGAAACGGACAGATTTCTCAGTTCGACTGTATTTTTGTTTGAATAATGTTAGGCTAGATGGATTTTAATGATTATTTTGTCAATCATCGAGTTTACACCTGTTTTGATCCCCTAAAAAATACTTTATAATAGCATCATTAAAAACTGCGTACAGTAAATAAAGTTTAAGCCTTATGGTAATTAACACACACACATTACCCTCTTTTCATCAACATTTGGGTTAGTTAGTAAATATATTGTCTTTGTTGTTACAATACTAAATAATTTAGCAACATTTATATATTTTTTTAATTAGTCATCGTCTATCTATCGTTAGCAAAAAAATGTAGAATATGTAATTATAAAGTAACTTCATTTCTCTGTAGATTGTGTAATAAATACAGCGATACGATGCCTGATTAAAAAATGTAGGTACAATATCTTTGATTTGTAACATACACTAGTAGTAAATAGAGATATAAATTGATACGATGAATTCATACTCGTCCACATATTTATATAAGGCAACGTGATGTACACACTATAATAAACCTGATTACATTGATCAAACGAGCACTTCAGTATTCCGCAGAGCAATTTATCTACTTTGTTATTACTTTAAATCAAATGAAATTTAGAATTAGATGTTCTTGTTGCCACCAGTGTCCAGATGTTGGCAACGCTTTTTAATACCGCTTCCGTAACGCATTATTGTTTTGTATCTCTTTATTTTATGTCTGTCTTAATAATAAAAATTACTATTCTGGGTCTTTCGGTGTTACAAAGCTAAGATGGCCTAAAATTTCTCGAGATAAACTTTGTATTAAGTAGTGTCGTGATACCTTTGCTTTCCCTTTTCCTGTCGCTTGCAAACAGTTTTCTTTGTAAGCTGTGTTTTAGTTTGAAGTATGATATATGGCAGTAAACTCAGTCTAAAGTCGGCGTCACATTATCTCGGGTATGAAACGTTAGTCTTTGCAACTCTGTTCCTATTGGTCATAGCGTGATGTTATATTTATATAGCTTCGATAAATTGGATATCCAATATTAGAGAATTTTCTCGGATCGGTCAGTAATACCGGAGTTACTCCGAATATCAAAACTCACAAAATCTATTCTTTATAATATTAAGTACACGGTTTAAATTGGAAAAGAAAATAATAAGTTTAAATAGAAAATAATAACATAGATCATTAAATGAAGTTCATCGCCTTGATGACAGGCCCAATGTCGAGTGAGTGACGAGGTCGCGGGCTATTTCCCCTAAATTCTGTATATATATTTTTAGAAACATCACAAATTATTTATATTTCTTAACAAAGTTTGAGGGAGTAGTATTTTACACAGCAAATATTCTTTCATTGCCAACATTTGAAATAATAAAACATATAATTTACATTATTAAATTAACATGTTTCGAGATTTGAGAGTGAACTGTATATTTATTAATTATAAATTACTAACTACCCGCCCCGGCTTTGCTTGGGAGTACTTGTATTATACTATACATATAAAACTTTCTCTTGAATCTCTCTATCTATTGCTAAAAACTGCATTATAATCCGTGGCGGAGTTTAAAAGATCTAAGCAAACAGACAGCGGAAAGGACTTAATTTTATACGATGTAAGGATAAGTATTATACGATAGTAATTAAAGTTTAATAATTAATAATTAAATATATGTTGTATAAACTCCGTATCTGGAATAAACAATTGTAATAACGTAATATTACAGAACAAAAACACAATGTTGTTAATAAATGTACAATATAAAGCATAACAATTAAACATATTACTTATAAAACATCTGCGTCAGACTTAATCAAATTTTTGTTAGTATTTCAGACACAACTCTATAAAATATACAGAATAACATTGTACTCAAAATTCGACAGTATGTCTGTGTTTATTACTCTTTCGATTCAACAACTGAATGTATGTTAATAAAATTTGACGTGGTAAATTTAAGGACGTAAATAGGCATTCATGTAAATAAATAATTTTGAAGATTATCACTCGATATTGATCACGAGCCTATTTCACCCAAATAGGCACGTTAAATCGCGGGTTCTAGCTGCTACTATTTTTAAAGGGCCTAAAAAGGAATACTACATGTCATTCTAGTCATTATCTTTTAGTGTCTTGTAATTTTCTTTCAAAATAAGAAAGTCCTTCGCAAGTAATACAACGTTACTTGTTGTTTTAATAACTACAATTGTATTGTATATACATTGTGACACCCGTGCTATCTGTAATGATATAACTAATTGCTATATCTGTAGGATAATTTGTGTCTGTAACTCTGCTTGTAATCTGTAACTCTGCAATATCAATATTCTGCCTTTCTAGAACACAGCTTCCGTGCTTCCACAGAGAACTGCTATATGTCAGAATCAGCTGAGACTCAAAATTCGAAATATTTACTTTATTCATTCTATGACAGACTGTTACGATATGCCAAATCCAGCGCCAGTTCGGAATGATGAGATAGAGGTATACGCAGCCGTTTTGTATGATACTGATCAGTCTAACTCTAATAAATATTTTCATCAGATATAAATAACAATAACGAAATATTGATCCACTTGTGTCTTACACAATTGATACATTAGGGTGGTCCATAAAGATATTTTGGCGTGACCGCTCGCCGTACCTATGGCACCGTGGGCCGCGCGGGCCGTGTGAAACGCCGTATTTTTGTGCGCGCACGCAAATAGATCGCGACGTCAGTTATGTTAGTTTTGTTGTAATAATCGCCTATACATAGTGTTGCCACACTATACTGTGCATACAGGACGTCCCGATATCAACCTTTGGTTATTTTAGCATTGGAAATTATGTCTGTTTATGAAAGTTGTCTTTCATTTGTATACAATTGTTTATGTACTTGTACATAAAATATATACTTAAATAATGGTACAGAAATCTAAATATGGATCTATCTAATGAAGATTCTAGCCTATACTTTATTTATCTTATATAGTATTAAAACTTAGCTTTTTTTTATAACAGACAAAAATGTACTCGTGTATAAAATATACATAAAGAATGCTATAGAAATCTAAATAGTGGTTTATGTTTTTTGTATAGATATTGTTTCAATAATTACAGTACCTAAGTGACAGAGATTCCCTTGATGTCCCATTTTGTTTTTATATTGTTCTTTAATTCAGATGGCTTTCTAGACTATTTCTAGAATTTTTTAACCTGGTTTATTCGGATAAGCCAGCAGGATACAATTAGTATAAAAATAATGCATTAATATTGATGGAAAATGTAGAGTTATGTGACTTTTTTAATAAAAAATATTTTCAGTTAGATACACATTTCTTCAACACAAGTGGCCAGTTTCACAAATATTAACAATGAATGTTAAATTCTCTGTAGTACTTATGTAGTTCATAACTATGCACACAAAATTAATGTCATATTTCCATCAAAGCATGGATACTTGCGCGTGAACAGAACAACACAACACTTTCCCCACTTGCTACTTAGAATACAACGATATAAATCTGTTCATTCCCGATCAAAAATAATTTTCTGACTATTGTCGTCATATTTCCTTGATAGTTGTTTGTCCCTCGATGACTGGATTATTTATTGATGTGTGTGAGCGAACGAAAAACTTTGTTGGCAACCAGAAAATTGGGTCTAATTCTTATCGGACATTGAAATGAAGAGAAATATTAACATATTTTTCATATAGTTTCCTCATAATATATATTCTTTACAAGGCTACCAGTATATCTGCAATTTTGACCTGTCACATTCTGTTTTCCACTGTAGCGATAGAGCCTAGTTTCTTGAGGTAAAATACAATGATACATATTGCTATCCTTTAGTGGCCTATAATTCATTTTTAATGGATGATAATATAAGGATGCATCCATCTGCGCTGTTTACGCTGTTGGGACACCAGTGGAGGATGATAAGATGAACTTAAGGGCAGATCAGTGAGCCCTTAGTGACGAATTAACCAGGAATTTGTCACGTTGGTTTCCAGGGGAATCGCGTAGACGTGAACCTAACATGGCATATTTGTAGCAATGAGGTCATCAGTCCACATTACTAATAATTCCCTTTTCCTACTGTGGCTTATATAGACTTCACCATCATCTTATTTGAAACTCCATAAGATTTAGTTTGATGTTTCAAATATATCACAATCATTATTTTTTTATCATTATTGTATTGGAATTGTACGTATTTTTAATTTAATTACAAAAGAGTTTTAGGGTATCCTGTTTAGTTTTTTTTTTCTTTTTTAATTTTAAAGTTCTTAAATGTCATAATCCATACAGAAAGTAGAGATACATTGTTTTTGAGAGAACTCATTTAGGCTGGATTTATTAACTAGTACAGTGACTAATTTTCTTCTAACTAAAAACACTACTCGATGGTTTATCTAAAAGTTGTTGTTGGTTTAAAAAATATTCTCATCATTTCAGTTGCCATTATTTTTAGGCGCCATAGATACATCAGTATAGACAGTAAATGTGGTTGTTATCATCGTCTATATTGCTGACATACTAATCGTCTTTGCGTCACTATGACGTCACCGTTTTCTTGCGATTGGACTTAAAGGATACATCCATACAACAAAATAGATTTAACATATTCTCTAAAAGTATTTTTTTAACAATCATCTATATTAAATGTAAATTAATATAAATAGTTTTTAACGTAGCTTATTATTCACACATTTCAACCTAAATATGTAAAGTTACAACAATTATTTAAAATAGCAACTCGAAGAAGAAGAAAAACGAGCAAGATACTTGATCTTGCTCTTTCTTCTTGTGAGAGATAGTTTCGAAAAAATTGTATGACCATTTAAAAGTGCTTAAATTTATATGTTTAAATAATTTTCTATTTTATTCTATTCTATTATAACCAAAAGTTTAATGAGACGATTATTAAAACTTTACCACTCGTAGCACTATGGCAGTAATAGTTCCTTGTAGTGTAGCCCCACTATCTTAAAGTCCCCAGGGCCTCTGATGGGTTAAATACAGCCCTGGTTATGAATAACAGTGTATGCATAACGCGTAGTATAATTGTTCTTGGCATAGCCCAGCGGCGTTTGCGCATGTTTCCGCCCTGTAATTAGTGTACTTCACGAATAATTCTAGCACCTGCCCGCACATCTCAAATACAAGTCTACAATTGTTGTAAACAACAAATACAATTAAATTAAAATAGAATAAAAAATCGGACATGAAAAAGTGGTTAAAATCCTTCAAGATGATAGTAAAACGCCTGAATCACGATCACGTAAGATTTAATAAGTGCCTCATCATCGGCTCATACGTTTGGATCTGTGAATATGATATTACCGACCCGCAGACAATTTAAACTTCTTACGTCTCTAATATTTAGTTAAGAATTAAAAACGTACATAACGCACTTAGAAGAAATTAACTTTAATTGAAGAATCAAACAAAATTAATACTCCAATACGTCAATATTTCCCAAATTTAGCTATATCATAGAAAAAGGACGTAAGAACCTTGCTAAAAAAAATTCGACAAGAATTAAACAGAATAATAAATCTTTATTTATACCTGTATCTGTTTTGAAATTATGTCACTTACGTCTGTGTTTAATTTGTTTGACGACTCGGCGGTTAAGATTTATTGCGTTTGTACACATTAGGGCCTGAACTGTATGTATAGGAACAAAGATTTGTAAGACATTTATAAATTGTCTTGGCTTGTAAGAACGATATATGTATATGCATACTTGCGTAGGGTAGACTAATTATGTGTTCCTTGTATTATATTAACGATCATCCGTTTGTGAATAATATTTTGACAAATGTTTCTCAACATAGGAAAATTATAATATTCGCTATAGACTCCGATAAGAAAATCATTGACTATTTGGCTAGCCAGGTGTGTGCGAGTGTGATTTGTAATTACTACTGGATTAGTAATTGTTTCTCTTTTATTCTTTATTGTACAAAAGACGAGCTTAATGCCATATGACATTCTCTACCAGCTAACCTTTAGGTAGAAATCGAAAGGTGCTGAATAGGTTATTCGCTATTATGTATACCAAACATCATCATCATCATCTGCTTCTTCCTTAGCCCATTTATTTGTGGTGGTACGTAATAATAAAAAAACTATTGAGCAATATATATGTATACCATTTCCTTGATAAAAATGTAATAACATATCTATGCTCAGTAAATAATAATATATTCACTGAGCAAAGGTATGTTATTACATTTTTATTACTGAAATGGCAAATAAGCTGACGCTCCATATCTATATCTTGTAATTTCAATGCCATGCTCAACCCTTCAACCGACACAAAGCCAGCAATGCTGATATTCAAAATCAAGCTTCTTGGCAGCTGAAATAGGTGATACTGCGGTACCCACCCAGACGACTTTTTACTACAAATTCTAACTCGGTACAAATATATGTACTTAATTCTACAGTAAAAAACACTATACAATACATATAGGAAATTAAAAATAAATTAGTACAATAGGTACTAGGAAATAGTACGAAGTTATCCCATCACAGAGATTTATTCAACTCTACCTTTCACAAATAACTGCGAGGTCTAAGAGTGTGGCAATAGTTTTGACTGTGAATAGAAGTCATAACTTCATTCATACCATATTTTACTTACAATTGATACAAGTCATAAGTCTATACACCGTATCCGAGAGTTGATCCTGGAGATCCTTATTGCTATTTATGTTTAATTTTTTACAGTCGCTCATCAACATCGCCAGTTCCACCATCTTCCGGAACACTACCACGGCCGGGCACGAAACAGGTGACAGTCACCGTCCAGGAGACGGTGGTGGAGCCTGCGCAAGCGCAGCAGCAACCCCCGACGACTGTGGCGCCTATTCGCCATCACTACCACGCCTCCAACGCTACTAAAGAGCTCGATGACTTGATGGCATCACTATCTGATTTCAAAGTAAGACTCCATTGTTTATTTATTTTGCTACTAAACTCAACATCTAAATCGCGCTAAATATTAAAATACATATTATTAGTCCGTTTGTCTGTCAGTTTTCGCGTACTTACACGCAATTCCCTGCAAAACATAACAAGAAAATAATCATGCCAAGTACATGACCTAATAATATTATCAACATAAAACCTGAGTTTTACACTACATATACACAGGCCTGCATTAAAGTGTTTCTTCATTCATAAAATCGTATTTACTGAATAAACCGCCGTATTTATAATTCGGTGGTCTGAGTAGCTTTACTCGATTTTACGAGTCCGAGATAACGTGGTGTCCTAACCTGGTCTGAGTCATCAGCCACCCTAAGGGCCAGTATCGGACGGCAGCTGTCACGGCCACTCGGCACACTGCACCACAGCATTTTCCGTTTATTATAATATTTACTAGTCTCCTTTCTTGGTCCACGGCTATTTCCAGCCACGCAAACAGGCATCACTCCAGCGGTATCGTTGTCTTCCTCGCACTCACGGCAACACCCATATCTAAAGATAGTTCGAAGCGTTACATCACAGGCGTGGTGGGGCCGCGAGCTTATAATATTAGAGTACTTAGTCAAACATTTTACTCGGACCGCATTCGCTTCAGTCCACCTCGAGCGGACGGTGGTACCTTCTGTACGTTATGCTCCAACTTACGATCTTTGCCTTTAATGCTTCTGCTGTTTGATTTGAGTCAAAGATGCAAAGCGAATCAATCTTCCTTTGATATTATTGCTTTGTCATCAAAACTTATGATGGTAAAGCAATATTGACATCATATTTATAGATTTCTTTTACAATTCTCAGGTGAGCGGCACTGGTGGAGAAGGCGGAACTCACGTATATCGGGAGAAACGCGCGTGGCAGGAACACTACCGCAGTAGCCCGCGGCAACCCGAATCCGCCTCTCTCGAGCATATGCTCGGATCTCTCCGGGCAGACATGAGCCGTCAAGGAGTACAAACCCCCCAAAAGGGATGCTGCAATGCGTGCGAAAAGCCCATCGTCGGACAGGTGGTTAAATGGACCTTGTTTAGAGTAGAAACTGGGTTTTCACGACATTCGAAGATAATTGGATTGAAGTGTAAATCGAGTCTCATAAATAAGTGTTACATTATAAGCAAGTGACAAATATACGGTTTTCTGGCGCAGGTCATCACCGCTTTGGGCCGCACTTGGCATCCTGAGCACTTCACCTGCGCTCATTGCAACCAGGAGTTGGGCACAAGGAACTTCTTCGAGCGCGAAGGCAGACCTTACTGTGAACCGGACTACCACAACTTGTTCTCGCCAAGATGCGCGTACTGCAACGGCCCGATCCTCGATGTTAGTTTTGGAAAGTGTTCATTGGCATTTTGGATTTTGTGTACTTAATTCTAAAGTGCATTTTCTGTTTCAGAAATGTGTAACAGCTCTCGAGAAGACATGGCATACAGAGCATTTCTTCTGCGCCCAATGCGGTCAGCAGTTCGGCGAAGACGGATTCCATGAAAGAGACGGCAAGCCTTATTGCCGTGCTGATTACTTCGACATGTTCGCGCCAAAATGCGGTGGCTGCAATAAGCCCATCATGGAGAATTATATATCAGCGCTCAACACACAATGGCATCCAGATTGCTTCGTATGCAAGGTCAGTATTGAATTTTCAAAGGTGTCTCTGTACAACGGATAGCTGATGGCTAACACCGGTAAAAGGTTTGTTTTAAACTACCTAATCTAGGAAAGCGTGTACGCCAGGTAAAGTATACCCTAAATGCTGAATAGTAAAGCCTTTGAGCATTCATGTGATTTAAATGTCTATAACTTGATGTTTCGATCACAGGACTGTCAAAACCCTGTCAAAGGCAAATCGTTCTATGCTATGGAAGGAAAACCAGTATGCCCAAAATGCGTGGGAGTAGATGAAGATGAATAAGGAATGCTACTTCAATCCCCCTACAAATGGATGCCCTCCCCATATTCTTTTTCAGCAATGCCCGTCGAATGATACCACCAAGGAATGAAATATATACAATACACACAGATGTTATTCTACACACAAAACACACACAGACACAATACACGACCATCGTATTATAGATTAATTAATAGGTATAGTAATGTATGTAATATATTTTTGTAATATTATTGTAATGCTAAGATTTATAATAAAGAGAACAAAAATAAAATAAAAAAAAACAACAACAAACAAAAAAAACAATAAATATAGCAAAACACAGTCGCGTCAGGTCATCTGGACCTGTCAGCCGACGTCGGGAGTCTGTCAAGGTCGCTATAACCCCCGTGGCATTGACCTTTTATCATATCATTGTTATGTTTCCATGAAGGACAGATCTAAAAAACGTAACCAAAACGTAAACGAGGTCAAGTGCTAGGCGTATAGGGTTTCCCGAGCGACTCCCGAACTCGGCCGCTATAAATAGGAGTAGGAGTGACGTCGCAGGCGTCTGTAGCCACACCGGCTGCCGTAAATCAGGCCGCTTTGTTTATGGGACAGGGTATTAAACGTTATTTTTGACGCACTATGCACTATAAATACAATGTTGTCACGCGACCAATAAATACTACTGGAATTATTACAAAATACACATACATACCGTTACACCTGTCTTCTATCGAGACTATTCTTATATCTCTTACTCATTCATACAAATCCGCCAGTTACGTTTGCTTTTTATATGGCCTTTTCGTACATATACAGACGTATACCTGTCCTAACCTGTCTGATGGCCATACGTTTGCCTACCTACACAGTAGAATCCGTAGACGGAGAAAAAAAAATTTATTTGTATTAATTAAAATTTTCTGTTCACCAAATTTCATTCACTTGCCTTGATTCGTTTACGCGTAATCTAACAAACGTCAAAACAACTCAACACCTTACACACTTTCACATTAGTAACATTAGTCAGATAGTTTTTCTTTCCATCTACTTCTGCGGTTGAGTAATTTCTGCAAATACTCGAATACTGGAGTAATTTCTACAAATACACGTATCGTGTACTAGCAGAAAATAAACTAATATAAATGCTTGAGTTCTTATTAATGACAGCCTCGGTGGTCTAGCGGTTTAGCATATCGCCTTACTTCCGATGGTTGCGGTTTCGATTCCTCGCGCGGCACAAACATTTGTATTCATTAGTATGATTGTTTGTATCAGTCTGGGTGTTTTCTATATATAATATGTATGTATTTATGAAAAACAATTATAGAGATATGTATCAATTATCTAGTTAGTACCCATAACACAAGGTTTAGCTAGCTGAACTTGGGTCTAGATGGCGCTGTGTGAATTATCTTGAGATTATTATTGTTATTGTCTCTTTTTCACATCTTATTATTTTTATTATTAATATATAATGATGGAAGCTATTCCATCATTATATATTAATAATAAAAATATGTATGTGCTAACATACATACCTTAACAACTATTGTGCCCAATGGGGTAGTAAGTCATTGTCGACTGTCGACGACATAGTGCACGCAATACTTAACTTGCCCACATTTCACTCTGTATATTTTAATGTAAAGTGGCAGAGTCTGCTGCCGTCATTGAATAATTTTTGGTTTATTATCTCATGGTGAAAGCAATACTTTCCTACATTTCGGTATATTTTAATCTAAAGTGACAGAGGCCGAGCCTCCTGTTGTCATTGGAATACTTTTTAGTTTATTATAAGTCTTTCTTTCACCGCTGAGTCAGTCAGAAATATTGCCACAAAGATTTTGTTATTTCCTAATTGAATGAAATAAAAATAAAAGTGTAACTATAAAAGTAACTGAAATACGTAATATCTTTCCAGGAATGCCGGGAGCCATTCCACGGTGGTTCATTCTTCGAGCACGAAGGGCAGCCCTATTGCGAAACCCACTATCACGGCAAGCGCGGCTCTCTCTGCGCCGGTTGTCACAAACCAATCGCGGGCCGGTGCATCACAGCCATGTTCAGGAAGTTCCATCCAGAACATTTTGTATGCGCATTTTGTCTCAAACAACTTAATAAAGGGACATTCAAGGAACAAAACGACAAACCATACTGCCACATTTGCTTTGACAAGCTGTTCGGATAAAACTTTCAGTAATGTGTTGATTTGACACGAGATGGCGCTATTTGACAAACAATCGATCGATTGATAAATATCGAAATATTGACTAAATATTTAATTATAGACTACACAAATTATTATTATCTAGAACCCCATTTTGAATTTTTTTATCGTTTAAAGACAACCTGAATTGTCATTGTTTAAAAATAACGCAGTACATTTTATAAAAATGACAGACGTCTAATAAACCTATTTTAACTAATAAATTCTTTGAAAGAAATTGACTAAAGAGTTAGTTAAAATTGGTTTATAAGAGGTTTTTTTATGAATAAAGTAATTACTAGCAGTATACTTTATCAATTTAATACACATAAAAGGTGACACAAATTTAAAATACAATTAGCAGTTGTCATGTTTATTTTAGTACTGATATGATAAATCAATTTATTTTATCAGTTATATCTGTTCACGTTGTCTTTGTTACGTGATGCTTCGTTACTTGTTATCAACCATGTAATCACAGTCGTGTCTACTGTATCTGTAATTACTTGTAAGTAATAACGATATTATTACTTAGAAACTATAATTATTACAGGTCGCGTTATCATTTAAGTTACTTTTTATTACATACTCCGCACGTTATAGCGTGAAATGACAGGGACACCAATGAAATTAAATAAAATATCATTTATTCATGTAGATTTATTTTTATTGTTTTTTAATAAACAAGACATTCACTATGTTTACAATAATTATTATTCCAAGAACCCGATATCGGGAACTCAATAAAAATAAATAAAACGTGGTAAGGTCTCGGGATTTTTCCTAATTAATAAAGAAGTTCAGGTGTAAATAATGTTTACTTAATTAATGGTTGCCAATTAAGTAAATGTTTATAGAACTTTAGTCATTTATGAAAGTCATGTATTAATATTTTTTTCCCATTAAATCTATAGGTCATTATAATGAATGTAATTTGCAATGAAAACTTATTTAGTTAAGTTTGTTGCCCGTTCTTCTGAATTAAATCTGAACTGAAATTGATGGTAGAGAAAAATATTAATTCAAAATACCCAATTTTGATAAGTGACTGTCCTATATGAATAAATGATTTTTAAATTTAAATTAATGATTCACTGTGGAAATTAATTTGTTGGAATGGATACCAGATACGAAATTCATTGGTTGTTAGTCAAATTAAAAGCATTTTCCTACCAAAAATTTGGGTAAAGTGTAGTATTTATGGTGGTATTTGTGGTTATTACTCACCTTAACGTCATTTCCCTTCAGTGCTTAGAAAAAATTATATCATTTCAGTTATGAGCTGTCATTTACAAATTATAATTCTCAATTAAGCTTCTACAATGGCAAAACGAAACCTGCCATACCCGCCCATGCTATAACGCATTATAATAGTTTTTTTTACCGACACATTAGAAAAGGTAATAATAATGTTTCGCTTATGTTTTATTCGTTCTTATAGCACGACATTAGTATTTTATTTTGTAATTCTATATTTTTGATATTAAGTTATTTTAGTTTCTTATTCTTTGTATAATACATAATATGATTTTGTCAATTTATATTTCCTATCCTGCAGTAAATTACTATTCGTCCTCGGTGCCGGATGAGCCTAACGACAAAGCGATTTCTACGGTCCCCGCGCTTTATCTGTTACGATATAGAGACATGCGAAATATATCGTATATTTAATATTGTATTAGTACCACGTTTATTTTGTTTACCTTGAAGAATAAATAATTTATTAAGCACCTTTACGGCCAGAATTTCGCAGCGTCTATGTAAGAAAGGCAACTTGGATTAAAAAAAAAGTATGTCTATGTTTACAAAAAATGTATAGAATGATACAAGTTTTAAGCCCTATAAATTATTATAAAGGTTAAGATTTCTCAAGTAGGCCTTTGGGACGATTTAGAGGTCCCATAGTTATCTGTGACTTAATATGTCTAACTAGTGCATGTGATGGACTAATTATTAAAATGTTTGTACTAAAATTGTTCTACGGTTAGATAGCTGAGAAGTTTTCTCAATGAATTACGTGATGTGCAATTAGTATTAAGTGTCGCAGACAATTAAAACGTAGCTGTTAAGAGTTGGTAAGATTTCTAAAATCATTATGTTTGTGTATTGTAATATAAAGTTGTTATCGTCGGAAGCCTACTTTGTATTTCTGGATGCGTCACCACAATTAGATATCATATCGGCTTTACTACATATAGATATGTCAAAAAATAATTTTATTTGGATTTAGAAAACAGAGATCCAATGTCGTCACATTTATCAGTAAGTAGCAAAGTTCAGCCTCCAAATGCTATATATTGTATAGGAAAAGATAGGTTAAAAGGTTAAGATATTACAAATATGACTGTGAGAATAAAACCCCTATCTGCTAATGTGACTATTATGTTTTGTATGCAATTCATTTACAATAAGAAGCTAACACAAAATTGCTAACAACTTACAGTTGTTGTTATCTGCTACTGTCATAAGAGTGTAAGCAAGATAGAAGATTATGGAAATGTTACAGACGGATAGAGATAGACGACGCAAGTACATTCGTTATTTCATGCAAATTTGAACGTAAATAAAGTACTTGCTTTTGTGTCACGAAATCTATTGACAACAAACTACTTCACTAAAATACTATCTGTAGTACTTGTTTTATCTATTCACTTTTGTTTTTCAATAAATATTATCATAAAATCGAAATATACTTAGTTATTTTATATATATTTATATTTGTTTTATATTACGCAAACTTATATTGTTGTAGATAATTGGATGCAACGTCTAATTTAGGACCAATTTACATACAAAGTACCTACATTGAATTGCATACATTTACATGTATATTCGTTTATATGTGGAGACACAAATTCATTAATTTTAACTTCAAAAATTTATGACCACTATTCTGTGGTCATAAATTGTTCCCCATTAAGATATAAGCTTTTTGACTTGCTGTATGCTTCGTTCAGATTCTCGATTTAATGGTTAAGTTGAACTATATTCTTCCATTAGATTAATTGTTCCCGCTGTACAGTTATTTGCTACATTGTTATATAAATATTATTACTCCAATTATTTTGTAGTTATCGCTTGCAGTCAGCTCGTTATGTATTAGTGCCAAAGTTTAAGGCAGAGTTCTACGATTGACTTCTGTTCACAGGCAAATGTAGAATTGTAAATCAATATGAATTTTTGATGTCTACATTTGGTACTTATATTGTAAATATACGCCAGGGTTGCCAAACGTACGCGGATTATCTTATGGGTACAAGATTTTTGTTGATCATTACGAGGACGTTTTGTAGATGAAATAGATCGTGTTAAATTATGTTGTATTATGATGAAACAATTAAAAAAAACAACAATATACATTACAACACAAGAATCGATGTGCTCACTTACGGTTCGTGAATAGTTTTCTTACTGCAGCCAAAATGTTAGTGTTGCATAAATGCGAAATCAATAAATTGTAAAAAAAATCAGTAGGAAGTACCTATTTTTTTTATTTGCCCTATCCGTGACAAAAATAAATTTATGACGAAGTTAGAGAGCCCGTATTACTTATTACGGCTTATTTGTACAAGAAATAAAATGTTAAAGTTGGCAACCCGTATGTGTACATTTGGTACTTATAGTTGTATCGGTACTCATTATTTGTTCAGATGGCCGTGAACAGTTTTCATGTTTATCGCTTGGTTGGCTTGATAACACGTTGAAACAAGTGTGGGTTACATTAACCGCGAGTCAAAATGATGGTAGATAGCCAGTAAATTATGTATTTAATATATAAGAGACATGATTTTATTGAATCTGTAATATTTTAACAAATATATTTAATGTTTTTTTATTCGGTAGTTTTAATATTGCAATAGAACCTTCCCATCTTAGCATTTGCGATATTGCTTAGATACAGTTTTCGCTAAAAAGTAAATTTCTTTTTATTATACAGGAGTCGAGCACGTTTAATTTGAATAAAATACGTAAGTATATTTATTCAACTATTGATAGATATATTGATTTTGTAGTTTTATCATTTATGATATTTCTTAGTTATAGATTTCGCTTAAAAAATAAAATAAAAGGAATCGAACTTGTTATCTTTGAAAAACACGTGTATTTATTGTACTAGCAAATATGTATTTTGATTCTGTAGTTCTGTAATACCTATGTTTGGCATTTGCGTTACGGTGGTAACGGATTGCGTTTCAGACAATAATGTACATATATGTATAATTATATATATAATATGTATAATATACAACTAATGGTAGGTACCTAACTAACTATTTGTATAAAATGTTTGTTTGTTATTGACGTACCTATCTAGAATGTCTTATCGCTATTGTATATCGATAATTACTAAATTATCGTATTTTAAATTCAGTGAACAGTTACTTGTGATAAAATTCATAGGAATAATTCTCCGATCATTCGTTATCAAATCAGGGAAATCCAATACGCATATATGTTATTGACTAGCTGGTACCCGCGACAGTGTCCATGTGAATTTTGCCATTTTTTAATAAAATAAATAAAAATCATAAGATAAATGTAACTTATGTTTCTCATTATAACTAGATATCTGGGAGTGAGTCTCGTTAAAATCGATCCAGCACTTAGCAGATAATTCAAGAGATTAGCAAGAACAGGCACACACAAATGTTTATATTTATTTTTTTAATGAAGTACTGTAGGTATATACTTTCATATACATTTAGGGAAAACCGGCTAATTTGATAAACAAGTCTTCAGTTTTGTTTATTTGTATAGGTTATTTAGTTATTTCTCCAAAAGACTAAGAGGCTACGAGGTACGACTGCGAGAAAATTTTTGGCCTATTTTGTTATCATAGAACACAAATTGTAGGCCACAGCGCACATGTACATGCAATTACGCGTGGGTAAGGCGGAAATGTAGTGCCGGGTCAAAAACTATTGGAACTATTATTATTATTCATTAAGTTTTATAATCACTGCTAGTTTTGGAGTTCAATTTCAAGCAATTCTGGACACATCTGTATTTAAATGTCAACTAGAACGGGGTTTCATAATAATGCAAATTCATATAACCTTGGGACTGGTAAGAAAGAAAAGACGTGTACTTATTGACAGAACACTGTTTAATATATTAAGTCAATGTGAATTAATTACTTATTATGTACATCCCTAATGACAAGTCATAAAATTAACCTAAATAAACTGTACAACTTAACATAAATGACTCTATTAGATTCAAATATAGGCCTAATCAGTCTTTGGCGAAAGTTCAGAATGTGCCCTAAGCTAATCCAGGAAACAATTCTGAAAATGATTCACACCAAAAATCTGATAGGTCTAACGATTCTGATTCACTGAGTGGCGACGCATGTGACTCATAACCTAAGTCGGAACTGAGACTTGTGTGCGTCGGCGACAGTCCTAACAAGTTCTCGTCAGCCGAGCTGGGAGATAAACTCATCGGTGATAACATTTTCATTTCGTTATCTAATTTAAATTCTTCTGTCGTCAACTTAAAGTCGGTATCAACTTGTATCGGTGTCACCTCCTCCACTTGGTCTTCGCATGGCACTTCGATGGTGATGCAGTCGTTGGCTTCATCGAAACTAGCATAGAATATATCTCCTTTATCATTTCCGTTTTCTTCCTTTATTTGTACTGTTTCTTTAGGTTCTGTTATGACAATGTCGGGTGTGTAGGGATGAGCATAAGAGTGCTGGGACAGTATTCTGTCGACATCGTGTTTGATGTCTACGACTGCACCTTCACCGGATTCCAATTGCTCTGCTGCGGTCCCCACCACTTCAGTTCCTTTAGGGCATTCTGCAGTTTTCCCGACTGGGACCTGTAACAATGTAAACACTTCCATCAGTTTCTATATTCTAAGTTCATAAAAATAAGAGGCAAGTTAAATGTTGACAAACAACTATTTATTAAAATGATATTTAATAAGATTTGGCGATTTTAAAACTTAGGTACGTCTTGGCTATATGTAAAATAGATAGCTAGATTGGATCTATTTTATATTGATACTGTCTAGTACTACTAGTATAGGTTATATTGATCCTAGTGGGATAACAGGCGTAAAATTTACGCCTGTTACTGATGTGATGGTTCGACTTTAATGATTGGTTTTGGATAATGCACAACTTGAACTTGGTATTATAGAATGAAAATGATAACAAGTGATTTGTTTGTAAGTAAAAAATAATTATTTCTATCCCAGTTCAAATTCTTGTTAGGATTTCAATTATTGTCATATTCACATAAATGACGTATTATAGGCGAACTCTAAACATGGTATTAAACTTACATGTTCAGCCGCTCCTGCAACACTTGCGCCAATTTCTTGTAATAAGGAGTCTGCAAGTTGATGGAGGCTGTCGAGGTACTCTTCAGAGTCGAAGTGTGCGAGGATGTCTGCGAGAGGAGACACATCGTCAGCAGCAGGCGCGCCGCGCGGATCGCCGGCGGGGGCCCGTCCTTCTGCTGAGGAGACTCTGCTGGTCCTTGGGCCCCCGCGACGGTCCGCGCCGCGGCATCGCTGCGTAACGTTGCGTTCTCGCTGAGCAAACGCTCATTCAACGCCTTCAAACTTTCCACCTCGCTCGCCAACCGCTTGTTCATTTCCATAAATTCATGTAGACGCTGTTCCATCTCGTCCATTTTGGCTTTCTTCCTGTCGCGTGACGTTTGTGCTGCCACGCGGTTCTTCAGTTTCCTGTTTAAATAATAACATACATTTTTATTAACCGTAATTTATTAACTTCATTTTCTTTCAACGTAGCAGGCGGCGAGTCTATCGCCGATTCTCGGATTACTTTGATTTGATCAATATTTTCATCACCAAATTTGAACTCCTGACCTTCCAGCCTAATTCGTTGGGTTAGTAAGCAAGTAGACCATAACGCTCTATTATTAATACATACTAGTTGTTCCCGCGACTTCGTCCGCGTGGAATTTAACTTTATTTTTCTAAAATTAAATTTTAATTAAATTAAATGAAAAAAAAAAATGTGTTTTTGGTATATGTACCGTATTTATATTATATATGCATGTAGTAAAAAACTGTTATTTCAATATAACAAACAGACACTTCACTTTAATTTATAGTATAGATTATAATTTAATGTTACAATTATATCAAATGTGATATAACAAATAATTAACATGCACATAACATTTTGTATGTTATTTTCCTTATACAGCGGATTACAATGTTTGTGTTAGTACAGTCAGCTTCATAAATATATTACTAGTATTAAATAATATTAACAACGTATTGACGAATAGGTAGTGATAGATCTACTTCTTTAACTGAAAATTCTTCGACTGAATAGGTAAGAGGAATTGTAAGCAGTTTACCTATTGAAAATTTATAACTAACAGTAATATGGTTATTCTGATACAATACTTATTTACATAATCTGAATTTGTGCCACCAAAGAAAATGTGGACCAATGTTAACATTATGAGCTTTATGAAGCCGACTGTACCTATTTTGTGTTTTATTATAATTATGTGATATTTAGTAGCTCCAAGTATTTACCACACAATAATTTTGGATATTCCAACACCATAACTTAAATTAACACAGTATGTTACATTTTATTTTTATTTTGTCCTAAACTCTATAGGTCAACGAACGCTAAACAACCAAACTACTACAATAAAAACCATTCTAACATGAACTCTAGTACCGTTATTGTGTACAAAACCAAGACGCAAGCATGACTCACTTTCTCTGCATCTTCTCTTCCCATGTTAAATGATCCAGTCGTCGCTTCCTGGACGGTGGAGCAGAGCTGACGTCGACAACAACATCGGAGTCCATCTCCTCCACCGCCAAGTAGTTATTTGGGACAGTGATAATGATCGGCGCACTCATAGTGATATCCGTGATAATACTTTAAAAAACAAATAAACACTCCACACATCACTTGAAAGACTGTTTTTAGTGTCTTAACGATCGCATGCTAACTTTGTATTTTCCGTATCCACCATTTGCTAAAGCGTTTTACTGCGATATATTTCCTCGAGTGAATAACAAACGATTGCGTTATACATTATCAAGCACAACTTGCGTATTGAAGGGTCTAGAATTTTTCTCGTACGGTGTATGTGGTGCGATGTGATTGGCGGATCAATATGTTGGGCGGATAGTCCCCCCTTCTCTGTTAGACAAGACCAGCTATACTATTGCGGTGAGATAAAATAAGACAGGCTATTGACGTCATTTCTTGCCCTTCACTGAATATGGCGGGAAAATCAATTTAACATAAGTTGATTACCAATGACGTTGTGAATGAAAAGAATCAATAATGAAAAGAAATAAAGTTGCAGTCCTAAAGTTATATTTATACATTTAATATTATTTCATTGCTTCTCAGTTCTAAAATACGAGTACAGTACAGCTTTAAATAATTACTGTATATGGGAAGTTATTTTTGTCGAAATAATATATTAAGTAATATTAAAAAAGCGATGAAGCATTAATCTATAAGTCATCATCTATTTATAATTCATGAACCGTGTGAAACACAGGTGTGTGTCAATTGCTCTTTGATAAAGTAAGGCAGGTATACCTAACTGTCTACCGGCTTGTAAGTAAAATAAAAACAATGATGCAATATGTGAAACGATTTCAAACGCGTAGTTAGCATATTTATTGTACTCATCGGTTTACTCTGAGAGTAGGCAGGTCATTGCTAGAAAACTATTATCCAGTTGATTACGTCAAACATTGCCTCATTCATTTAAAAGTTTGTGCAATTGGTAGGTACCTATACATAAGTACATCTATAACAGATGTCTCAATATTAGAATGATGTAACTCTCTATCTATATTGTAAAATACCTAAACTGGCGTGATTTAGATATATAGATATTAGAAAACATTTTTTTTTTATTTATTGAGATGGACCTTGTTATTGAACTAATGTAGGACACCTACCAAGCCAACCTACCAAGGTTTATCGTATCAGGAATCAATACCTCAAGAATGTAGGTTGACCCGCACACTGGACCATGAAATCATTACCATATAAAATTAAATGTGCTTGATTGACTAGATGTATTTTCTTATTTTTATTTATATAAAATAAAATAAAACTTTCATTATGGAAATTAAAAAAATACATCGAATTTCGATACCATTTTACGGCCTCTTGTGGTTTAACACACCGTTTTACTTCCGACGGCCACGAGTTCGATTCCTTACACGGTGCAAACATTTTTAGGTATTCTTGATTATTATTGTTTGTATCGGTCGGGGTGTTTTACATATATGACAAAAAAATCTAAGTAATTACATCAGATATCTGTGAATTGTCCAGGATTGTTATTATTAATCATTTAATTCGAAATCAAAACTCTCCTTAGCGTTTAGGAATAAGAAATTAGCACGAAATGACTGGCAATGTGCGTTGTACCTCCTCTCCAAAATGAATATCTACATACATAATCGTTTTTCTCTGGAAATCAAATTTTACAAAAAAAAAGTGACATTTTGTCTGAATAAATAGATATCTCCTAATGAAAAAGTAACTAACTAGAATATAATACATACTACATACCTAGGTATGTACAAGACAGCACATTGATCGATACATACTTACATAGGTACTTATATTATTATGTAGGTTATAAAGGCCACAGTTCAAGGTGATCATACTTTCCTACCTAGTTTTGAGCTTAATCTCCGTGTCATAAATCCTTTTGAGTGTTTTAGTGAAGTTTCTATTTTCTCTATTTCTAAATATTTCTTCTCATCCTCAGACACTCTGCTTGTTGTTAAAGGGTAGAGGTGAAATTATATTAAATAAAGCAGTATCAGCTACTTTAAGTCAGGATAGGCAGAGGGAACCATGTGCTTATAAGTTCATCTATCACAGTCTACTTAGTCTATGTAAGGAATTAGGTATCTTTTATTTACTACTCTTTATGCTACACTTATACCAGTGCAATTAAATCAAACAAGTAGTAATATGGGAGGGGATTATTAATAATAAGGACTAGTAACACTATTACCGAATAATGTACTAATTAGGACGACCTCCAAATAGAGGAAATGATCTTCATCAATTCCCTGGAAATTATCTAGTTGAAGAAGTAGCTGTGGTAGTACCACAGCTACTTCTAACTGATCTGTTTTCAACTTCATCTAATCATTAGATAAATCCAGCGTATATCGTTAGATTATGCGCCTGCACGATTCTGTAAGTAAATAAAAAAATAGTGAGTAACGCAAAATTTTGGCTTTGCTATCTTATTGTTAAATAAATGAAAAGTTAATTTTCAAAACGACGCAAAAAATTATGTTTTTTTTAGGTCTGACAAACTATACAGACAACACTATTATTATACTATATTGTTCTTTGCCCAAGCCAACGAAGAAGGGTATACTTATAAAATATACCGGTGAACTCACATTATGAACTATTTTAATGATTCAACTGTGACTTTTAATTAAGAGCCACATTGATGTTTGATATGAAATAGGTAGGTATATCTGTATAATTTTATTTTCTTTGCGTAGTCTGATGATTTTAAAAAGAAACAATTATGAGTGATAACTAAATCGTTGTGGGACTGACAGTAATTCCATGGAATCTACTGAAGACTGACAGTCGTCAATACAAGTATTTTCGATTTTGACATTGCATTGTATTGTAATATTTTTTTCTATGAATATAAGAAACAAGGAGAAAATTGAAAATAAATAATTCAATATTATTAGTTGTATACCAGACACCGACTCTTTTATATCGAATAATATTATTATAATACCTTTTATCATGGCTTCAACGAGTGCAGATTCACAATCCACAATAGCTCAAAAGACATGGGCAATGGCAAACAATATAGAAACTGTTTCCAGTGTTGATGATATTTACCGATACGATAAAAAACAGCAACAAGACATCCTTGCGGCAAAACCATGGGAGAAAGAGTTAGTATTAAACTTGTTTTTATATTTCGTAATTATCTCCATTCTATGCTAATTCAAAAATAATTGTTTCAGTCCACATTTCTTTAAAGACATTAAAATTTCTGCATTAGCATTGCTGAAAATGGTAATGCACGCTCGTTCTGGTGGAACTCTTGAAGTTATGGGATTATTATTAGGTATGTAATTACAACTAAACTGATCCTGTTTATAAATTATACAAATTTCTAGGTTAATATTTTTTTTAATTTTTAGGAAAGGTAGATGCAAACACAATGATTGTAATGGATTCTTTCGCCTTGCCTGTAGAAGGGACTGAAACTCGAGTAAATGCACAGGCCCAAGCTTATGAATATATGACGGCTTATATTGAGGCAGCAAAGCAGGTAACTAAGACTACAGTAGTTTTCATATCTTAAATAGGGTTCTATAGGTATTTGGTAATGTTCTAAATTATCTACTGACTAGACTAGCCCTATATACTAAATTGTATATTATCTCAATTTCTAATAATCCTTGTATTGCCACATCTGTGTGTTATTCTTTTATGTATTTGAATTGATACCAAATTTTCTATAGACAATTCACACAATGCCATCCAATCTGGTACTAGACAACTGATAGAAATACTTATTATTATGTATATATGTTTGTAATTACATCATAATATACATTGATAACACCCAGGCCAATCCTTAAAATCATACTCATGAATACAAATGTTGCATTGAGTGTGGAATTGAATGTTGCGGGTTCATTGTAACTAACGCAGTATGCTAAAACACTAGACCACCATGCCAATAATTATGAAAAAAGGATTAAAATTTTGTATATTCAATGAAACTTCTACTTATTACTGTATTTTGAAGGTTGGTCGTCATGAGAATGCAATTGGTTGGTACCACAGCCATCCTGGTTATGGTTGTTGGCTGTCCGGAATTGATGTCTCTACACAAATGCTTAACCAGAACTTCCAAGAGCCATTTGTGGCAATTGTCATAGATCCAGTTAGAACCATCTCGGCTGGAAAAGTTTGCCTGGGAGCTTTCAGAACATATCCTAAGGTAATGAAAAAGTCACATTATTAATGTAGTTAATAATATAAATAAGGTGTTGACCTCTCCTAACATTTTAACTAGGTGTTTAGACCTGTTTTTTTTATGGACGATAATGGAATGGTGTACCTGCCTGCGCTAATGGCTTATGCTGATGTGGCACCAGTGAAAGACGACAAGTATGAGATAATGTCAGTTAGCCCATCGTGACAAATTCACCGAGAATTTATTACAATGGTTTTAAATAGTTAAACTGACAAGGTACATTGCTAGCAATAAGATCGTCAGTCGACATTACTAATAACCCCCTTTTCCTTATCCCTTAATAATCCTCTTTTAACTACATTTATAATGGGTATGTACTCAATAGGACAGTTTTTAATTATCATGGACAAAGTTATTTATATGTATATTTTGGATTTTTCAGGGTTACAAGCCAGCCAATGAGGAACCTTCTGAATACCAAACCATACCTCTAAACAAGATAGAAGACTTTGGTGTTCACTGCAAACAGTACTATTCTCTTGAAGTCTCCTATTTCAAGTCATCATTAGATAGGAGGCTATTGGATTCACTATGGAACAAATATTGGGTGAACACTCTGAGCAGCTCTAGTCTTATTACAAATGCTGATTATACCACTGGACAGATTTTTGATCTCTCTGATAAGTTGGAACAAAGTGAGGTGTCATTGGGTGAGTAGACACATTATTTTCTTTTTAGTTATAATTTACAAGCAATTTACATACCGATTTCCTTTTAAATAGGCTTGATTTCGTTTCAATAGTTTGTGACAGGTAAAATGAATGTATAACATAATAATACCCCTGGACAAATCACACAACGTTATTCTAGTCCCCAGGTAAGCACAGCTCGTCTTTTGTGTACTAGATAACTGATAATACTTATATAATATACATAGAAAACATCCAATTGCTACCAATAATCATAATCATGAATACAAATGTTTGTTATCGTGCGAGGAATCGAACCCGCGACCATTGATTGTAAAGCTATGTGCTAAATCGCAAATCACCCAGACTGTGAAATATATAAAAGATAAGACATCATATAATCAAGGTAGCTGCTGTGATCCTATTTGCTAAATCTCTTGTGACAATTATAACCGTTTGTTGAAAGAATACTATTACCGACAGGCCGTGGCTGTTTCATAGTTGCTGGTGCTGATCCCCATGAAAAACGTACAGAAGATAAACTTGGCAAGGCTACCAAGGATGCTTGCAAAACCACCATAGAAGTGATCCACGGTTTGATGGCACAAATGATCAAGGATAGGTTATTTAATAGTGTTAGTGGCAGACCAGCACCTGCTACACCCATGATCGAGTAATTGCATATTTTCCTTATAACTAAGTACGAGAATGTCATAAGAAATTGTAAGCTAATAGATATTTAAGTAACTCTTCAAGTCTTTTATTTTAATATCGCAACATATCAATCTATATATATATATAATGTATGGTATCCTGTATTAATGTAATGAATATTAGTATGATGAAACAAATAAAACAATCAATTGATTATATAAACATTTTCAAATATTTATTAACCAATTTACATAAAATCATTATAATCATTATGTACATCTTTCTCATAGCTAGTTATACACAAAATCATAACATCTCACATTGTGGAGGGCCTTCTATTTAATCAGATATTTTATGATAAAACAAGCACCAAATTATTATATATATCGCCAAGCTCTTTATATAAATTATATATATATTCATGATTATATGAACGCTGTTCTCACAGTATATATATCATATAAAAAAAAAGTGCAAGAGCTGTGTGGCTAATCCATCTGTGGTTTCCAATGCTATCTAATTTACATGTCTATATTCATTACAATGTGCCGGTTAGTGTAACCTAAACATAAATAGAGCGAAATAAAAGTAAAATTAATACCTAAGTGTTAAAATGTCTTAGACATCAAAATTGGAGTAAAAACGTTAGAATACACTTGTATATAAGAATTTATTTACACATGCTCAATACAAAAATCTGATGACTTAAAAGAAATCATAAGCTACGTGCCTGATATTTGTAATAGTCAACAATTAATACATAAATAACTACTCTTAACCAAATGCATAGGGAATATTGTTTACTATAAAACTAGAATTACATTGAAATGGTTTCGTTAATAAATTAAAATAGAGTTTGCCAGTCAAGCACTTGACTATATGCCGAGTCAGCCACATTATTAGAAATAAGTAAGAATTGTGTACCCAATAGCATACTAGAAATATTTTACAGACTTCTAATTTAAATTATACATTTATATTTGAAAAATTAAAGCATGTTGCTGACTCAGCATACAACTGTGGTCATTTGCGACGAGTGGCAGGTATCTATATATCCCAACCGAAAGTTTATACAACAGAGAAACTTTCGACACACATTAGTGGTTTATCACACATCAATTACATTATAATAGTGATTTTATTCATATTAAGTACATTCCGTACAGGCCCTTGCGTCTTCCTATACATCGTTATCTTACATTCACATTCTCAATTTATTTACAAGCGACAAAACACGAAACTTTTATAATTTAGCTTACATTTTTAAAACCCCGACTGATAAAATCAGTATAATTCTCGTATGGAGCGATTCATTGTATTTATTTCTTAAATAAGCTATCCCGCGTTTAATAAAGGCCACATTTGATTATAGTTAAAAAAAGAATGTCGGTTTTAGATTTTCAATGTTCAGTATTGCATTTAAAGCTATGTGCTAAGAAAATAGAAAATATAATAGAATATTGTACGATATTTCGATTAAGGGTCCAAGATCTAAACTTCATTAATTTATTTGAAATATAAATACATAACATATTTTATTTTAATGGGATTTAACTAATATTGTGGTCATATCAGACAATATTTTTAAACTGACCAGAAAAATAAAAAATACGGAATATTTTTATTCTTTCCTATGATTTGATCATCTTTCTTAATAATAATATAAACTAACTGAAGGCGTTTTACTACTGAACTCTTTTTTTCCCTATCAATCACAACCAGTTTACCAAAGTTTAGAATAAAGCATAAGTCGATCACTGTACCTTACAGTAGTAGTTTTCAACATTTTTCTCTAAATATGGAAGTTCTAAAGGAGATAAAAATATTTTAAGAGTCCCAATCGTGACTTGGTAACCCTGTTGCAACAGACAAAAATTATCGCTAAAAAGATATTGTTAATTACTATTCTGTAGTACGAAAAGTGACTTAGATCTATTTTTACTAAGATATTGTTGTAAAATTTTTGATGTATACAATTCGAATGGAATTTTATAGCAAAAAGTCCATTGGAATTGTAATTTCACAGATTGCACACAATTACTTGTATTAAATGTTCTAGAACATTTTCAATATTTGATGCGTATTTTTATTTTTATGGTCAGGTATACATCTCACGATAGCTTAAGTCTGTAATATTTCATTAGCAACGAATCTAACAAATTGGAATGTTTACAAATCTCTCAATCTACGCCGGTTAATACATGTTCATCTCAACGGATGCCCCACTCGCGACTTATTGCTGTTAGAATACGAGTCACCGATCGTCAGTCTTTATAATCAGGCAAAGAAAAGTATAGCCGTCAATCAGCTGGAGTCATGTCCAAGAATATTCTATAATTCATCAATATATAAGCAGCCAACAAGACTTTATTAATAACTAATAATTCTCATGTTCCTCATCAGTCTATTGACAATAGTCATCCAGACATAGTCATAAACTCCAGTCATCTAAGTCGTAGGGTTCTTATAAACAGTACCATACTTCACACATATATCGTCAAGTAGAAAATAATTAACACGAGTGATATTCGATATTACCGTTCCAGTCCATGATCAATACGATAGTGACGTTTGCCAATTGTAGCGATTATTCAATAATATACGCTCATAATAATAATAGGACCGACTTCGCCATATTGAGACGTATTAACCGTCGAAACAAGTAGGTAATTATATAACTTTGATATATATATTTTTACTTAATGTGCTGTAATATTTTTATACTTGGCAATCTTTTGAGATTGACAAAAAGACTTTTGAACCTGAATGCTGTTCTTTAAAATAGTATTATTTGTTTTATTTTTCAATTGGACAAAACGACGCTGTGGTTCATTTCATACATTTGGGGGTTATAATTTTGAATACATTTACACTATTGATGCAAAGTATCAAAACTTATATCAGTAAGTTATGTACGTTAAAGCAAATAAACAGTATTTTCTAGTGATGGTTAACAAGTCATAATTGGCGTGGCCATTATTATTTTAATCGCATTGTATTGACACAATTGCTGCCTTTACATGACACGTTCTTGCGCGCGCGATGTAGCGTGGGACGGCCAGTGCACGCAACTGTGAGGGATTGAATTTAATCACTTTTTGTGTTTACTCTTTCGCGTGTGATTATTCAAGTCTATCTCTTTCTTTTAAAATTATATTTTTTAGTCCACAGATTTTAATTTCCAAAGACACGTTTAGTATTTTTGCAATGAGAATAATTTTTTACAAAAAGGCGCTTAAGCACGCAAGATCGCAGTACGCGGCACATTTCCATGTTTATTCATTCCCGCGTGTAAGAGTGTACGTGTAAAGGTAGCTATTGGCGTGTACTAGCCGCTGGTAGGGTCACTGTTGGCCGCGTTGGTCACGTGGCTACAGACAGTAGCCGGGCGGGTTGGCCACTCGTCAGTTGAACAGATCCGCCGGGAAGTTGTTCACCTCCGCCTGCTCCAGTACTGGGTTCCCATCCACGTTGTACGACACGCGTATCCTTAATCGGAGAGCCGACTGTAAACATAATAATTTAAAGTTATATTTTTTAATATACTATGTTGGTGTCAAATAAGTATACGGCCCATCTGATTATGAACCGTTACCTTAGCCTATGGACGCCTGAAACACTAGGGGTCACATGCACGTTGCAGACCCTTGAGGAAGCCTTTTCCAAAAACATATTATCAAGACCATTCTGTGTAGTCAAAGCTGTAGTATCCAATAAAAGTACAGTTGAATCAGATATTTTGCTAATTTAAACACATACATGTTCTGTTATATATTTACATAAGCTTCGTTTTTGTAAAAAATATCTATATATACAAACCTATTACTACTCAAACAAACAAACAAAAAGGACCAATAAGTTCAATCATTTATTAGTATGAAATGTTTAATGTTCTTATGAATAAGAGATCAGTTTTCTATTATTTATTTATTTAACTTTAATGTACACAATACAATATATAGTACAGTACATTTAGCGTACTTAACACAATGCGGCATTTTCTACCAGTCAACCATAGGTGGTGCATAGAATAATTGTTGGCAGTGCATGATAAACGTAAACAAAATATACTACATCAACAGTGTACGTAATTATGATAAGTGTCGATTAATTTTTTTTATTAAGTATAAAGTAAAATGTAACTTACTCTTGTGGGATTGTTGATTTTCAACACTTGTGTGATTTCGCCCTGCGGTGGTAGCACGGTAGCTGACGGTGACATCATGTCTAATCGGAAAGTCTGCAATAATAATTGTCAATAATAATCATTGGTACTTTCAGTGCCTATATCTTTATATACGCTATTACATTCATAGATTGCTAGAATGGTTCAATTGAAGGGTATATGGACAGTAGGTTAGGCTAATAAGTAAAACACGTAATGCCTACGCCACTAAAGGGGCCGTTCAAGTATTACGTAAGCACTATAGGGGGGCGGGGGGGTTATTGATTTGCTTATTTTGGGTGACATGGGGGCAGGGGAGTCTAGATGATGATTACGTCATAGGTAGTATTTTTATTTTTTTACCGAATGGCAACCTTACATTGTCTTTGCTTGAAATCGAAACGCATTTTCGGGGATTCCCGCAAATAATGCATACGGTTAGGCACTCGCTTTAGAACCGAGTAGGGGAATTACCGCGCGCTATTCACTTGTCTAAATTTCCTCTGTCAGTGTATTGTTTCGTTTGGATCCTATAGCGAGTAGACGTATTGTAAGCATAGCAAAGCAAGTTAACATTCGTGTTACTGTTGATTCCATTAGCCAAAGTTTAATGTTTAAATAAGATGTCGTTTCAAATAGACAAATCCAAGTTATACCAAAAATTGTTTGAAAGTTTTAAGAAATCTCATACAAGTACGAAAGTACAAAATGTACAAAAATTAGTTAACGAAGTGTGGCGAAATTATAAATTACAAGCAAAGTCCGACAATGAACTAGATATTATTGTATCTAAGAGAATTGAAGAAGAATTGCAAGCGGCGACTAAGAATAAAGCCAATCTACTACATTTTTTTTCTAAGGTGAGTGACGAAATCATTTTACGTACCTTTGAGTACTAGAAATATTAAAAGTTGCCAAGAAGTTTCTTTTTACATTTTGTAACAATAATTTAGACGTTTTATGATTAGAAAATATTATGGCCTATCTCGAAGTATAGAGGTAATGTTCATTGTATAGATTTATTTCTTATGATTGATTCCGTCAATTGGTCACAAAATACAGGGTGTTAATTTTCTGTATGTGATGGGTTCGATTCGATTAGATTATTTAAAGCCATAGGTCTTTAAATAATCTTTAAATGCTGTTTTTTATTTCATACTTTATATTTATGCAGCTTAATAAGAAAATTAATAGAAAGTTTTTATTTTTAGGCAACGACTACCTGTAAACCTGCAGAAAAAACACAAATTATACAGCCAGCTTCAAATATCAAAAAACAGGAAGAAGATAAAATAAAACCCGGTAATGAATCACAACAGCAATGCGAAAATAATGAAAATGCAGATAAACAGAGAGCAAAACCTTCTCAGGAAGCTATGAAAAATAAGATTGCTTTACTCGAAAAAAATCTGAATGCTTTGTTTTCTGCCAGAGATACTATGCCAAGCCGTGCTGAAGTTGATAAACAGATCGTTAAGTTGCGCGACGAAATAAAAACAGCAAAACAGTCTTTAAACAGGAAGGTTCAAAACGCAGTTGCCCAGAAGAAACACAGGGATGGTATGAAAAGAAAGTTAGAAGATATTTGTCATGAAAATCCAGAAATAAAAAAAAGACTATCTCTGAGGGATTCAGTGGGACGTCCTAATCTTGAAAGCAATCAACCATCACTATTGAAAACAATTGCGGATATAGCTTTATTTGGGAGTGCAGCAGATGATAGAAGACGAACGGAATCTATACGCAGCGTAAAAACTCTTGACGAACTCACACAAGAATTACGTAAAATAGGATTTGATATTAGTCGCAGTGGGACATATCTTCGTTTGATTCCCAGAAAATCTGATTCTGCTGAGGGACGAAGACATGTATCGACAGTCCCTGTTAAGCTCATTCGGGCTCAAACTGATCATCACAAGAGCCACTTAGATAGCAAGTTCGCTGAAACATCAATTCATTATTTAGAGAACATAGCATCCATACTTCGACCAGATCAAGTATTTTTCATATCTCAAGATGATAAAGCTCGAGTCCCTATTGGCGTAATTGCGGCAAATAAGCAAGCACCTCTTCTAATGCACATGGAATATAGAATCAAATTGCCTGATCACGATTGGGTAATCGCTGAGCGTCATAAATTAATACCATCTGTTTATGCTGGTATCAAAATCACTTCCAGTATGCTTGGACAACCGCAAGCCGTTGGATATTCTGGACCAACATATATCGCTATTCGAAGTGGAAAGCATAGTTCATCTACTGCTAATACTCATGCTCAGGATTTCGAGACGCCTCTCGAACTTGAAGAGTTTCGACCATTAGCTAAAACTGACAATGGACTAGTAAAACCAGTGGTAATCATGACGGTTGATGGAGGGCCAGATGAAAATCCGCGTTATCAAAAAGTCATAGGGTTTGCTATACAACACTTTAAGCGACATAATCTCGATGCATTGTTTTTAGCTACCAATGCTCCTGGAAGAAGTGCGTATAACAGAGTAGAGCGCAGAATGGCTCCTCTTAGTCGGGAACTGGCTGGTTTAATTTTGCCTCATGACCATTTTGGGTCTCATTTGGATGAACGTGGCGTTACAATTGATGAACATTTAGAAAGATCTAATTTCGAATTCGCAGGAAATGTATTAGCTGAAGTATGGAGTTCAATGGAAATTGATGGCTATAATGTTACTGCAAAATATGTTGAGGCAGGTGAACAAGATCTTCCTGATTTTCCAGACATTAAATGGTATTCAGAACATGTACGTGAAAGCCAATACTTGCTTCAAATTGTAAAATGTAAAAATACAGAATGCTGTCATCCAAGAAGTGGCCTATTTAGATTACTAGACAACAGGTTTCTTCCACCACCTGTAAAAGTAAAACAAACAGTTAATGACTTGGTTTTGGATGAAGGAGGACAATTTCTTAATCTTTCAATCAATTTAGCTCTACGCTTAAATGCTTCACTCAAAGATTTCCTGCAAATGCCCTACGATTATTTTTGTCCAACGGTAAAATTGAGGCTATCAAGTCGAACATGCAAAACGTGTGGTCTTTATCATGCTTCCGTCAAGTCACTAAATCGTCACATCGAGAAGATCCATAAAAAAGTAAACACGCACACTGATAGGAAAGTTAGACCTGTAAGAGTCGCTGCTCGTCGTGCTAATGAACTGATGTGCATTATTCAAAATTTAGAGCACCATGATGTTGAATGGCTCGATGAGAACGACGTAGACATTCCAAAATCGGATGAAAGTGAGCAGACTTACAACACTGAGCAGCAATCCAAGCAATCCAATGTCATCGAAAACTTAGAATCATGGATTCGGGTTTCATGGACTGAAGACTGTTAATTTGAATTTAATATGTGTACCAAAAATTGAACATAAGTTTGTTATGTTCGTAAGATTATAATAATTTTGTTACTCTATGTTGAATACCATATCAGTAAAATCTCTACATCCTAAATCTATTTTCTTATTTTTAAAATTATAATTATAACCTAATAATTACAATATTTAAAAAAACAATACATTAATTGCAAAATGTTTACGTAAGCATGGGGGTAGGGGGTAAGAGCTTTGCTTACTTTTGCTGACAAGGGGGATGGGGGGGTAAATAATTGTAATAAATCTGCTTACGTAATACTTGAACGATCCCAAATACAAGAGTATGTTATATAACAATAGTAATATATTAGGACAATTCACACAGCGCCATCTAGTCTTTGAACTAGACTACTGACATAAATTATATTCAATATTTTTAAACTCAAAGTCGCTCAAGGAGCTAAGGAAAGAAGTAATTTCTCTGAGGGATCAAATTCGAAACGAAGTAATTCGCCAGAGAACTAAGGTCACCGACATAGCTCTTAGTATTTGTTGAAGTGGCAGTGGGCTTGTCATATCCGTCGCAGAACCGATTCTCGCTTGAGTAGACGTATTTTAAATTGGAGACCGCGAATTGGCAATCATAGTGTAAGACGCACCGCAGCTAGGTGGAGCGACGACATACGTAGAGTTTCGGGTAATAACTGGATAAGAAATGCTGAAGATTGTGCCCAATGGCGTAACGTGAGAAAGGCCTATGTCCAACAGTGGACTGCAGTGGGCTGATGACTATGAAGACTACTTACCCTAGGCACTGCAGCCTGGAAGAGGAAGTCTGTGAGCGTGGAGCCGGTGCTGTTGGCGGCACGCATCGTTAACGCTGCGTCGCCGCCGGCCGCCCGCTGTACTCCCAGCGAGATGCGGAGACCGTTCTTGTCCAGTGCCAGCACCGACGGGAGATCTGATGTCAATATACACAGAAATCTTACTAATCGTTAGTATACGCGAAAGTTTGTTAGTATGGATGGATGTTTGTTACTCTTTCACACAAAACTACTGAACTGACTTTGATGAAACATTACAATAATATAGCTTATCAGAAAGATGAGCGATAGATTAGAGATAGATACAGAAAAGAAAAGAGTATATATGCGTGCGTGTGTATCAAATACATGGTGTTGTGTAATGTTTTTTTATTGATTTAATGTATGTAGGAGAGTAGAACATTCATATTAAAAAAAAACTATTATCATTCTGTTCTCCTCTTCTATATAAACAATAAGTGTATGAAATTTCATACTCGATTTTCGTTAAAAGTGGAACAAAGTTTTTGATTCACGTATTAATATATAGTTTAGGGCGTAAATTGCCACGAATCGAGTTCAACAAGGTAGATGTGGCGGTACCTTGTGGTATCTGCTCTGGTTGGTGCGCTGAGAAGAGTCCGTCGAGAAGCAGACTGGCGGCGGGCGGTGGCGCGTTATTGTTGGCGATGCTGACTGCAGGCGCAGGCGCAGGCGCAGGCGATGACAGGTCTAAACCGCTTAGTAAGTCCAGGATGTCCTAACGACCAATAATTTTAACAATTGTTCAACGTTGTTATGCTAAAACAATAATATAATATCACTAGGACTTACTTACTTACACTTAGGACAATTCACGCACCGTCACCTAGTCCCAAGTTAAGCTGAGCTTGTGATATGGACACTAGACAACTATTAAATACATAGATTCATTGTTGGTACATATATAGAGAAGGGGAGAAGGGTTTGTTCGTAATTTGGGCTAATTACCCTATTGCTAGCAATTTACCAAATCAGGTTGACTCTATGCAGTTTCCATCGTTAAAAATTCCTAGAGAATTTAATAATTTTCTAACTGACCATACCATCTCATTCTTATCATACCATCCTCCACTGAAGTCCCGCTAGCGTAAACAGTTAGCTCAGGAGGTACATTCCATTATCAATCAAATAATCTATGAAATCCTTTAGTTTAGCAGAAAAAAATGATAAAATTTCACTATAAATTTTTTAGTTAATATGCGCTACTTAAAAACAAGTCCCTTAAATCTTTTCTTTTTTATTAAACTGTTCTTGTTCTTAATCTAATCTTATCTGTTAATGTAACACACTGTATATACATACGTTGCTGCTGGTGTTGTTGTTTGTGGGCGCCGCTTGCGCGGGCGTGTGCTCCACGTCGCCGTTCGTCAAAGACTCGGAGCCTATGATAAGATCTAACAGCGCATCCTTAAAGTATAAACACCATTATCATTATAATAACCATATATACAAATTAATATCGCTAATATATATCTTACTAATAATATAACGCGAAAGTTACATCAGAATAAAACATATGGTACCAATTTCCCGCTGGTAAAACCGCGGGTACAGGTACAGCTAGTATTAAATAAAAATATCTTCGTTGGGTCAACATTTCATTCATCTTTATTACAACACTATCATATTCAGTCTGCTATAACACAATAAAAACCTAACCTCGGAATTACGGTCAAAATGGTAACGGTTAGAGTTGACGAATGAAATATTAAAAATAAACTCTTACTCTTTACTTTTTTACGGAAGGATTTGCAACGGGTTTCTACGTGACCTGACGCCTGGGTTAGATTACCAAGATTGCGTGGTACAAGCAACGGATGATTGGATTAGCGAAAATGGTGCACTAGACATGGGGACAGTAATTTTTACCTGATCAGGCACGGGGCGCGTGGGGCTGCCGGGGAGACTGGTGGGGCTGATATGTCCGGGTTCGGAGTCGTCTTCTCGTCCCGTGGGGCCCGGTGCTTCCAATGCTGGCATTCGCTCCAGCAGCGCGGGTCGCAGGTGTGCGTGCTGCCTACATTTTTTTAAAATATAATACATACACATGTCTCTTTTTAATAAGTGTCAGACAATAGCGCATACAGTCTAGTCGTTGTTCCTCAAAATTAGATATCAAATGACTTGTCGCCTAGAGTTGCTTGGAAGAAATCGCTATTTAGCGATAAGGCCACCCGTTGTTACGTCTGTATCTTATTGAAATTATGTTTTTTATATTTGTTGCTGCTGTTTTTCATAATGTATTTTTTTTTGTGCGAGAGGAACAATAAGGAGTTTTTTCACTTCATTTCATTTCAAATGTACCTAGGTTTAATCAAGAATATTTCAACCGAATCAGTGTAGAAAAATGAGTAACTAAATTAGAATATCAGAGAAAACAAGTGAAAGAATAAATTTTACTTTTGTATATATTTATAATAGTCGTGTAAAAGTAAATTATTAGTCTCTTTATCGAACACTCTTTGTTTCGTTATGCAGTGAATAAAAAAGAACATATATCAATGTTTCTATTGGGTCTTTAGTGCAATCATATACTACATCATGATCACAGTATAAGTTCTGTGTAGGATTAGCTTTAGCGGTGGGAACAGTCCTAGGTTATTATGATGAATAGAATAAAATATAATAGAATAGACTGTTATTGCTAATTTAATATTAGCAATAACAGTTTATATAACTTACGTCAATAACTTACCTGTACAATTGTGAAAGCTCTACTCCTCGCTGTTGTAATTCTATGTGGATATGAGATCCAAATGTATCTATGATTACGCGAATTTTGCTGGAAAATAAAATAGGAACACATTAAATTCACTCTTACTTACATGACACATTTTCAAGTTCAGACTACATTGTTGCATTCTGCTCAAGTTGCAGGCACAATGAAACAAGAATTTGTGTCTATTGTAACGCTTTAAAGTTACAATTACAAATAGAAGAGTCTGGGTATTGGGACATCATTCTAAATACGTATCTTGAATTGAAATAGTATATGAAGCTATTGTTTAGCAAATATAAAGAAGTTACAAAACATTTCATTTGATCATTTTTTTATGTATGATAATAAAAAGGTGCGCCCGCCTGCGTTAACGGTTTACGCTTGCGGGGCACCAATGGAAGTTGATAAGATGAGCTCAAGTTCAGCTCAGCTCAAGTCAAGTTGATAAGTTGAATGATGAGGTCAAGTTAGTTAGCCTATCATAACAAATTCACCAGGAATTTATCACGATTGTTTTCAGGAGGGTTCACGAATCAACCTGACATAGTGTATTGCTAGCAATGGGGTCATCAGTCCACATTACTAATGACACCCTTTCCCCCCCGACTTAAGCATTAAGCATACTTATAATAATATTGTTTGTGTACTTACTCTTGACTGGGTTGCGTGGTGAATCTGGTGGAGAGCTTGGCGAGTGACAGCAGCAAGTACTCCTTGGTGGTGATGGATAGTTGGGTAGACCAAAGCAACTTCTGGTATATGTCAATCACATACTCCTCAGATGGACGAGTGAAGTCATCTGAAATGCACAGGTTCGTTAGATATCAAAACATTAATACATATATATTACATATGGCTAAATATCTATATACTTTAATACTATTATAAGAATACTGTTTTCGGTATCCGATTTTTTAAAATTCAATACTATATAAATATAGAATAGAAACAACAACAAAATTAAATATACCTTTCAATTTATTACTATTACAAATTAAACCAGTATCTAGTGAATGTGTTTATTTATTGAAGAGTAAAACAATACAGAGTAGATTACTGTTTACCACAGACTAATACCAATTACTCTATGTTCATTACACTACATAGGAGAATGTGTTCCTTAATAAGGGATTAACCTTAATCACAAATATTAACATTCTTCTGAACACTCAGCATAGTACATTGTGCTCATATAAGTATTACATGTCAGTAGCATTATATAATCTGTATATTTTGTAACTTTGATACCAGAACAATTACTAAAGCATAGATTGAGAAGAAAAAAATAATAGAAAATAATATTCCTGTAAAAATGAATGTTCTAAATTTAAATATAATATTTTTTATCGTATTTAATGGTAACTAACAAGTATAATGAATGACAACTAAAATAGTTTATTAAAACCTACCGTAACTTTATTTGATTACCGTACATCTAATCATCTAGTGTCATTTCATTTATTATGGTTATGTAAATTGTGCAAACTTTATGAGATATGGGGTTTACTTTTGTAGAGTATCAGAAATATGTTGAAGTTATGATGATGAAATAGATAATCATTCATGAGAATCAATGTTTGAAATTTAAACGTCATATTTTTTATCGTAACCATACAGATAACAGAATTTATGGCCAGACAACGCAATGCAGAATGCGTTGGGTTTATTAATACATACCGACGCCATCTTCGTCGACCATTGATATGGCATTACTGGCCTCTGATACCAGTAAATCTCCATACTCTCCAATCGTCCATGCGGCAACCTGTAATAATAAAAATTAAATAGTAGGGTGAACTTGCATCTAAAAATCGGGCATGGCCTTGTTTAGATCCAAGCGGCACTAATATTCTTAAACTAATTATTAAAACTAATAATTTATCTTATTACACTTAAATTTTCATAAATACACAATATACAGCAGTAACACCCCCGATATTACACCACATAACTGAGTGCAGATGCATTCCTAACCCGCGGAAGGACTCATGGAGCGGCTGAAAGGACTCATGGCCAGCTGTGCATTGAATGGCTATGGACGACAGACGACTTTAGTCTAAAGGCACCGCTAGGAGATTCGAATCTTGGCTCAGGGTGTCGTAATTTCAATCCCAGATTGAATTGGGTGGGGGAACGATAGTTGGGGTTGTTACTAAGTTCAGACTTGACAGTAGATTTGATTTACTTTACCTGCACGAGTGGTTGTTTCTCAGTGGCGTCTCCGGAGACTGCAGACCGTTCGAGCGCGGTCCATAGGCGCATGCTAGCGTACGCCTGCCGTTCCATCGGTGCTGACGATACTATTTGGATGGTGGACGACACCGTATCGTCTCGGAGATAGTTGCCCGCCTGTGGACAAATTTATCAGTTTTTTTATTATTATTATAGCTTTATTCTTTCACATATCACATATATTTGTAATATTTCTGGTTTATTTCTTTTTTCTTGTTATGTGGTTCATGTGTAAAAGCGTCATCCTCTGCCAATCCTGTCTATCCATGGCAATTAATATCCAATCTTTTTCCGACATTATTAGGAAGAAAAAAATATGGACTGTCAATATCACCCGATCATTTTGTTGTTAGAACAGTCCATCTCCTGTCTCTGTATCATACATGTTCGCCTTATGGTTGATTGGGAGAATGTCACAAATGTTAAGTCTACCATTGTTTGTGCACCTTTATTTGCGCTTTGAAGTTTAAAAAAATATAAAAATTAACGAAACTATACCTTCAGGAATACCCGGAATAGCGTGTCTAGATGCCACTTGTTGGACGGAGCGTATCTCTCTGCAGCGAGGACCATGGCGCTGGAACAGTGCGCTTTGAACTCCGCGTCCGACCGCTCCAAGAATGTGAGCAGTTCCTTCATCATGCTGCGGATGTTCTGACCGTTCACCAGCGCGAACGACAGCTCCATGGCTCGCCGCCGGATCGACACGTCCGGGTCCTGGTAAATGACATGAGTGAATGAATTATGTTAAGAAATATAATTTTTTTTCAAATATTTCCTAGCTTTATAACGTAGCATTGTCTGTTGATGTTCTAAATAAAAATAAATATCAAAATACATAATAATATCCGTGGTTTATTAACCAGACTACAAAAGATCGTGAGTTCTAAAAGTAGAGCCAGTAAAAGTAAACTCAAGACCGTAACGTAGTGTATTTTTTTTATGTAAACGCAAAGAAATTTTGGGAGAAAGAGAATGATGTTTATAAGTCCTTAATGATTATTTTATAAATATTATTTACCTTGAGACATTCCAATATAGTGGTCCTATGCCTCTGTACGGCCGATGTGTCCACGTGCACCGTCCGTAGTAGAGTATTCAGTGCCACGTATCTTATATTTTTATCATTGTTTAGCAGAAATCGGCCGAGAATATTAATGGCCAACACCCGCAAACTACTTTCAGACTTAATGTCCATGATGGAGAGTACAGTTTCGTACAATATTGTGTTGCCAACGTTTTTACTCGTCTCCGTGTTGGTAGCGACTTGAGCGAGAATGTCGTTCATAGCTTCTGATGCTTCCGCATCATTCTTGCCTAGTATTCTCAGGAGACGAAGGATTTTCACCTGGAATGCAGAATAAGATTTTTTACTAGTGGAAACGGCAGAGACTTATTTGGAGAGTGTGTATGAATAGACTGATAAATCTAGAGATTACGAATTAGGTAGTGATATATGAATCAAAATATCTAGGCCTACCCCAAAAGGATATGCACTGATGAATTGATGTCTTTGCTTTAATAATATGTATTTTTGATATTTACTGCTTTATCCATGCAAGAAGATATTGTATATTACACCTAGCGCAAATCACAGAATGATGTGGGATAAAGCTGTTCAATTTATAAAATGAGACATAAATAACAAATAAACTGGTCTCTTAAACTTGATTAAATACGATATTTATAAATAGAATAGAGTTATGATTTATTTATTTATTTTATAGAATTCATTAAAAAAATCATTATATTAAAATATTTATTACCTGTAGGAAAGGATCGGATACACCGCTGACGTCATGCTCTGGCGAATATCCAGCCAGTATAAGGTTTTTCAATATTCTCACCAAATTCGGAACGATCTACAAGCAAAATGTTGTTTTAAAGCACCGCAACAAATTACAAATTTCGTTAAACGTTGCCCAAATGCACACACAAAATATATTTGCAAAGCCAAAAGAAAAATAATAGAGAAATATAAACGTCTCAACTGTACAATAACCTCAGGCACATATGCATTTCAATTTACTTTCTATATACTTTTTAATATGAACCTATAAGGCGATATAACAGATAAGAATACAACAGCAATTACATGATATTTAAGATAATTCAAAAGGTATACAGGGCTAGTTATAAGGGGTATAAACTAAGCCAAAAGCCAGTGATAGAATTCATGATACTGAACAAGTTTCCTGTAAAAGTAAAGTGAAAATAAAAAAATATACTTTTTAATACATATACAATAATAATAACAACTCTGTATAATATAATAAATTTATAGTATTTTTTTTCGTAATGGCAAACAAGCTGACGGCATGATAAGCAACAACCGTCGCCAAAACATTACATGTACCGTCATTCCAATAGTCTAAGATGACATGCCTCTCATCCTGTAATTTCACTGCCTTATATGCTGGGTGCAACCAAAACAGCTTACAAAGAGGCTTAAATAAGTGAGACTTTTTTATCTCTGGCAGTTCAAAATTTATTTAAAATTTTCACTTTTCTTCTTATTTTCAGGTTCAGTTTCATGAGTAATCTACATGACTTTTGCCTTGCCATACTTGTAAAACTAACACTGTATATATAATGTGAAATAAAAATAAAACTGCTTGCAACCCCACCTCGGATTAGTCACAGAATGTGCTTATTCAACCTCGTGAACTGTTCATACAATAGTTAAGTTCGTGTGAAATTTTGGGAAATGATAGAACTATCTACCTAAGACAATTGTATGAAATCCAAGTGCTATATCACGCTAAACATACTGCACTATTACTACTCAGATGATAAATTAAGTCTGAGTGTTGCGTACCTCCCCAATAATGTTACCACTAAATCTCATACACATAATACAGTCATATTACAGAATTTTCGACTTTATAAACTAAAGCATAATAGTAATTTCATTTAAATATTGCTTTAAAAATGGGAAAGATATGATAAATTTTTATATATCAGTAACTGAAAAAGGCTTTGGGGATTTATGACACTAACAATTGTTATAGTTGCAAATACAAACTGTTAAATTGTCCATACATAATCAAATCTGTGTCACAATTGGAGTTATAAACTGAATTGCATTATTTAAATTTATTTTATTTGCCGAGATAAGTGACAGAGTATAAGGCAATCGACTTCAACAAATTATATTATTTATAGGAGTTCGAATGATACTAGACTCTCTATACATGTACTTCTATCGTAGACTGTGACGAACTTATGTCAAACAGGAGCGGTGTCTATAGTTATTTTTGTAGGTCCATACTCAATTATCGGATACCGTATCTTTCCTTTCTTCTATTACTAAATATATGACTATTTGTATAGTTTTTTATGCATTATGGGTATGAGATTGTTATAAAATCACTCGAATATATTATACATAAATAATGTATAACCAACACATTACATTACATTCATGCTCGTTTGCAGTCTGTTGACATCATACGCGGTCAGAAAATCAAATTTTATTATCCATTCTAGTTTCATTACTGTGTTAAATAAATATACGTAATTACAAGTACAACATTACTTTGAACTATTTAATTAGTTTACAAATATTACATAAAATTATATAGTTACATATCCAAAGACACTAAGTTCCTAAATAAATAAATCCTTTAGTGTGTATATAGACATAGTACAAATAAAACTTTTAGTAATAACGTAAACTTTTGTGTTTTTTTATACGTTGAGTAGGAATTACAAAATCCTACGATTCTGTGGCAAACTTCAATTACTTCTTAAAAGTAACATAATATCCACAGTAATGTTGTTTAGATTCTATACGAGATATACACAATGTTAACAGGCTGCATAATAAAGTGCTTGGATCAGCGGTATGTGATTACCTCGCGCTGTCCGCTCTCCTACGGGACAACACAAACAAATAATTAGTTTTCGAGTTGTTTTTATATGTATATACTATACATCATACGACTTAAAATATAGTGCATTAACATTGTTGAAAGTAAATAACTTTATAAAAGGTTGAAATAATAATATTTTTTATTACACATTAAGACGATTATTTGTGATCACGTTTGAACGGATCAATTTGTTTACTTTCAGATAAGATGATTTCCTTCCTTGAAAAAATTAAACATGACAGTGATAATTTTGCGTAAAATATTTTTTTTATTGTTATCAAACTAATAACTACTACAAATCAAAATCTCTTATTAAAATAATTAGAGTAATTTAATAATACAAGTAATTCAATGCACGTAAATTTACATGAGTGAAACCCTAAATAAAAATAACACCTTAAAATACCTTAAGAAATAATTAACCTCCGAAAAAATAAGGTATAATAAATCATAGCGAACATCCGTACCAATCACGTTTGCTTTCAAATATAAAAATCGCATCATAATCGGCCTGTTCGTTTAGGAACTCGATACGGCTAGGTACACAAATACATAGACCGTCAAACATTTAACACCCCTCTTTTTGCGTGAGGGGTCAGAAGGTGACTACAAGTCATCTGTGTTGAAGTCTTCATAAATTATAACCCTATGCAGATTCCGGATTAATTAATATAAATAAATAGTTTCACCAATTTATTGCTATCTTATTACGCCTACGTATTGTGAATTAAAAGATAAAAACTACTAAAGTATTAATTAAAAGGGCGACGACGTTAAAGTTGTTTCGATATACTATTATAAGGTTTAGGAGAATCTTACTAATATTATATATCTGAATGTTTGTGAGTATGAAGAAAGGATGCTTGTTACTCTTTCACGCAAAAACTACTGAACGGATTTATGAAACTTTACAGTAATATAGCGTCTACATCAGAATAACACCGGTTACAAATTTTATGCGGGTGAAACCGCGGGCACAGCTAGTAATTAACATATAGACAATCTCTATCTCATGGTGCAATTATTACAATAGTACAGTTGATATGAGTAATTTCTTAAAAGAAACAAAACTTAACATTACTCTACAAATAAGAAATGTAAACACAATGATTATCGAAAAACTCCATCGCGGAATATTGTTACATGGGTCTACGACTCTACGCGTATATGTACTGTATAGAATTAATATAGAAAATATTATAAAATAATATTCTGTATGTTGATTTATATTAAATTAATAGTAGAAGTAGTTTATATTGAATATATATTAATTAAATTTATGTTCAGACTATAACCGTGGTCGTATAATCTCATATATGGACACGTAAAATACCCACACATTAAAATCATTTGGAAATTGTTTCATAAATAGATAATTTATATTGCATTATTTGTACAAAACAGTTTCAGACGAGAATTTTCCTGTTTCACACCTTTAAGGGCGTTATGGTGATGTTCGGCACTCATTGTCGTTTTTGAACTTACTTTCATTACAAACTTTCATATAGACAGTGAAATCGTGTGATCGTTTTAGTTAACAAATAGATCATCTAATATCTACTGCGCTACTGCATAAAAGTAGTTAGTCTCAGGCTTTCGGTTTAGCCTTTGACGCTAACTTTTTTTTTTCTAAACTGAAGGCCAATACAATGTACATTATCATATATATATATGTTAAATTGCCATTTGGCAAGATGGGCTAACTGACCTGACTTCACGATCATTTTATCACCCTCTACTGACGCCTCGCCGGGTGTATTATTCCATTATCATCGATAAAAAAAAACATTCATGTTGACAATTCCTAGCTTTATAGTGACGTATTAAGATTGTAAATATCCAATATGTAAACATTTTTTTTACATGGCAACATTTTCGTCTACGAGGTCATTGCCCGACTCGCCGACTGGTCGATGGCAACGTTATCAAGATGTGTACGAATCTGTTTCGACTTATAATTTACATGTAGAAATATGAGTCACCAATTATTCGTGTCTATAATTATACCATAACTAGAGCTGGCCACGGCTGGCAATTCATTGATTTAAAAATTCACATGCGAAAAATAAAGGACGCATTTATCGAATGATGTCCATACTGATCTATTATGATAGGTAATAATGCAAAATGTTACAATATGATTGCAATTTTGCATGTCAATTGCGTGCAATGTTTTGCATGTCAGCATAAAATTGAAATGCTACCTGCATTTCTGCATTATAACACCCATAGCGATGTCTCTTAGATCTCTTAGGACTTCATGAATATAAGGACATTATATGCGTATTTTTATTTAATATGCTGATAAAAAAAAATAATGTACAGGGTGTTACTAAATTGTTTGTAGCTGTAAACATATGTAATTCTTAGGTTATGAATATTTATAACTAGTTCGTTCGGCATTTGGCGTTGGTAAATATTGTTAATATTCAAATACTTATCATTTTTCATTAAAAAAAAATCAAAGCTACTTCTAAATGCATTTTAGGAGTGTAATCAGATTCTTTCAAATGAGGAAAAGAGCTTGATAGAGAAAGACAGTATTATCGTTTTTATGAAAAAATATATAAATGTAATATTTCTCTTTATAAACAGACAATTCATTACACGTACTGTGTATTCTATGTACACTACGAAAACCATATTAGTTGTTAAAAATCTTATCGTACGCAATCAGTTTAATCATACATAACCTAGAAAATCTTGTTCACCAAAATGAACCATAGCACTTAATGCACAGAGATATTTTTTGAACTGTAACGTGATGGAGTACTCACCTTCTTGAAGTGATTGAGTGTGTCGGGACTGTTTTCACACATCTCGGTGATGAGTGTCACGCCCGTGATAAGGACACCTGTTGACATAAGATAAATTATATATTTATTGGACTACAATTTATTTTATTTAATTTATTATTCTAACTTAAGACTCTGTATAAAGTTGTGTGCTAACTCTTTCATTATTTTTTTAATAATAATAAGATATATTGAATATATTGGCATCTGCATGCGATAACTATATATGTCAGGGCACCGTGGAGGTTGGTAGTAATATAATAATAATAATATCCCAGTACAATTCGCACTATATTTTCAAGCCAAGCACAGCTCGTGTTATAGGTACTAGACAACTAATGTAAAGACATAGAGATTTTTTTCTTAAATACATACATAATATACATAGAAAACACCCAGACTAATACAAACAATCATATTCATGAATACAAATATTTGTACCGTCTCAGCAATAGAAACCCTGACCACCGGAGGTAAGGCGATGTGCTAAACCGCTAGACCAACGAGGTCCCTTAAGGAATATGTGTCATCATTATGTAACATTTAGCAGTTGCAGTAACAAACCATACTACTAATATCTATAAATATCATACATTAATAATATTAAACATTAATTTTATTTCTGTTTACCATAAAAATACAATTGCAAGTGTTACATAGTCAAACTCCTGATGTATAGATTAGATAAGAATAAATCAATAAAATCATTACACCTTCCAGTATAGGCTACATGTTTTGAGAGAATGGTGACGAAAATTTGTAATAATTGTGTAAGTCAGTTCACATAACATTTTACCTTTAATCTACTAATATTATAAATATGTAAAGGTATTCTATGTATATTATGTATGTATTTAAAAAAAGTATCTAAGTATTTATATCAGTTGTCTAGTACCCATAATACTAGCTCTGCTTACCGTGGGACTAGATACAACTGTGGCAATTGTGCAGGGTTATTTATTCATTTATTACAAAGAGGTAAAGTTTGTGAGGTTGTAGATGGTAATCTCACATATACTGAATCAATATTGAGAAAACTTTTACCTATAGAAAGGCAAGTTATATATGGTACTTAGTTTTCATAAAGATTTCTAGTTTCGAATTTGGTACAATAACAACTATTAGTAATATAAAATGTTGATGAATTATTTGTTTATTATAGTATGTGAGTACACAGATGTAATAATTGTACTATTTATTGTGCATTAGTAAGTTTATTGGATAGTGTGCTATATGGCTTATTAGTAACGTGTATATTTGACGTGGATTCGTGACATAGACTAACATTAATCTATGTTATCTGCAGAGGTACTAATGGAAGGGACTTAAGTGTTGACAGAAATATTACAAGTATAGGCACATATTACAGAATATATATATAAATATAATACAATTGACGGGGCTGTAATAACTTTGTTATGCGATAGAAATGAGTGTGTCACGCAAGGCACAGGTTAAAAGACTAAAACACGCATTATACTAAAAATGTACCTACATATAATTGCCGGTCCTAATGTCTCTATGGTGCCTTTACTGATAATAGAAAAGTTATATACAATTGTATACAGACAAATCAAGTTACTTTTATGATTATTTTTACAGAAGATGCCTTTACCTTTATTTTGATAAGATAAAGAAAAATACATTAGAAGTAGTGTAGTAGTAGTGAACGTGGCGCCGATGTCGGAGAGGTTGAAGAGAATATTTTAAGGAAGGGGTTACATATGAATGTGGATGGTTAGAAGGGCAGAAGAAGGCCGAAAAAGAGATGGGTGGACTGTTTGAAAGATGATATGGCAAAAATGGGGAGTAAATAAAGAGATGACTGCGAACAGGGATGAATGGGAGAGAAAACATTACGCCGATCCCAAATCAATGGGATAAGGAAGAAGCAGATAATGATGGGTAGCTCTGTATTAACAGTTTTTGATACTAAGCAGCTTGATTTGTAAATCTTTGTTTCGGATTAAAAAGGTGAAATAAATTATAGGGTATCAAGGCCTATCTTAGTCCTCAGATATGGCACCGCATGAGTGTTATCAGATAGGCTTTCCAGTAATATAAAAATTATTAATTAAGTAATATTAATATTGACAGAAACTTACCATGATTTTTCTCCGTCAATAAGCTTCTCGTGGCTGGTAGAAACATTTCCATAAGATCGGGTACTCTTCTTATGATTCGGAACGCGCACAAGGCCGCTTTCTTCTTGATATATGCGTTTGGTGATTTAATTAGACGCTCCACTTCTGAGGCTAAATCTCGCGCCATTTCAGGGGACGCAATTGCTCCTAGAGTGCATAATGCTAGTCCGACTACGAATTGCGTGTTGCTGTTGAGGTCACTGTGTAAGAAATATGTATGTTATTAATTTAATTATACCTTTATTGCAACGAATATGGCAACGTAATAATATGGACGATTTAAGTAAACTAGTACAAAAGACGTATCTCTAAGCGATCTTTTCCAAGTGTCCTTGGGAACGAATGTAAAGATCTGAGAGGAGCAGATGACGCACGTAACACCATAAATAATATAAGTAAATTCAATAGACATATGCTTAATATTATATATATCCATGCATCCATAGACATATTTTATTTTCAATTAAATACTGTATAGGAAATTTTCGACGTGTGCTATTTATGTTTATAGTGTTAAGTTTATATGCTTTAGTGAAAAAATTACAATGATGCAAGTACTCCGAAACAGTCTAATTAAGAAAAATCTGATTGTTTATGTGAATAATAAGAAAAATCTTTTTGAAATCAGTTATGTAATATACTGAACAACACTTACTATCATTATATTTAGCCCAATTTATATAATTTATTTTTCAATTATAGCCTATGTGTTAATCTGATGTATGGGTTAAATTATAAGTTGAGTTAAGTAAATGTAAAATTTCATCTAAATACCTTCAATAGTATTTGCGTGAAAGAGTAACAAAACAAACATCCATCCATCCAACCATGCACACATACTTTCGCCTCTATGATATTAGGAAGATTATAAAAAAGCGTGGTTAGAATATTTGTGGATTTATGCACGAACTTTTAATAGAAGTTCCAATACTTTAATTTTAGTCCAAACTACTCAAGTGAAAGTACTGATTGTGACAATAAATGACAAAATGTGAGGTTATTCGAAGTTAAAAAAAATTAATGCAATATTTTACTACTAAAAGTAACAAGTAATAAAAATATCTGAACAAAAAAAATACAACTATAAAATTAAAGGGATTTTATATGAGGTAGCAAACAGTTCTCTACAGTTACTTAGTTTTGCAACTTATACGAGTATTCGAAACACTAAAATTAGTGAATCGCTAATTGCGAAGTAGTACCGATAAATATGTCAAGTGTACGAGTTTATCGGTTAATTTATGTTAAAGTCTTACATTTTATGTTTACTCCTCGCTGTTGCTATTCACGAAAAGCAGGTATCTTATGCATTTATTACTTGCCGCTGATAACGGAGTTTCAGTGTTTAACAATCGACTTTCTGTAACCCGCGACTTCAATTGTTATAAGTTTGTCTGTCCGTGGCATAGTTGCTTCTAAACGAATTCTAATCTGTGCCATTCAGTTTGACCTTTTACTACTTTTATTAGGACTGCCAGCTTGTTTGCTATTCCAATATATATTAAATTAACAAATTTCATGTTTTGCAGTGTATATTCACGAAAGTGTACTTTATGTTTGTTACGCTTTTAAGCCATTTCTTAATTGTGCTATATAGTTAGTGTAGGAAAAGATATAATCAATGTCATCGGTAGATTATAGGAAATAACAATAATAATTCACTTTATTACATAAATCCTATTAAACTCATGTAAATTGTACACGTATGTATCTCAATTCTAGTCAAAAACCCTATCGTATAACATCGTTATCATTGTTATATATATATTTACATCAAGTTCGCCCTTGTACATCTATCTAGAATTTAATTTTGTAACTTTTCTTGTGTACAATAAATTTATCCTAAAATGTCAGGTGTCACCAGCACCTAGGCTATTATTACGGGGAGTATAATATACACTTAAATGTATTACAAAACAAACCGTTCCGAAGGCTCGCTCTGGGCGGCACAATGACATTTACAGCTTTAGAAATACATAAAGTAGGTGCCATCTTTTGTTCCATAGCGGGTCACGCCCGGATTACGGCAGTTATAGGCGTTCAGTTCAGTACTACGGAACCATGCTTTGTATTACCAGTCCATATCGGGGTCGAGTCTTAAAATTAAATTATTGTTTGTTTTACAGTTTTGGTTAAGTGCCTTGTGCATTAAGTTTCATACATACGCTGGCGGAAAACTATTGAAGGATCTCTGATCGATCACCCGTCTAATTCAAACGGGGATCCAAAGTACGATGGTCTGAGCCGAAGTTGAAATCTCTAACACTGAGGGCACCCCTCAGACTAAAGATTACTATTAGATCTAAAAGTCTTTGCCAGCAATAGTCACCAGTTCCTATTACTAAGTCACCTTCCTTGACTTAGCATGTTTCGGAAATTTATATATGTCAGATATTTCAAAAGTTAAATATAATAATAAAACTACAAATAAGCACTTACTTTTTCAGACAATTCGTGATGAGAAGGTGAACATCCTGACGTTCATCGAGTAGCAACATGGCGCCCAAGTACCCGACCCGTTTGTCCGTGAATCTTGGACTCGCGATCAACTTGAGACACTCCAGCTGCCCGAAATGGGCCGGGTAGCCCAGCATGTGGATGTAAAGCAGTTTTGCAATGTTGCGACATCTGCAAGTTCATGGAGCTATTACTTTTTAAATTAAATAATACTACAATCATACACATATTGTTATATGTCAGGCTGGAGTCGGCCTTTAACCGCTCCATAACTCTTTCCGCGGGTTTGGAGCGCCATCTGCACTTGCCCCTTATCGTCAGGTGAAGCTACGGCTAACAGCATTAGAGTAATCAGAAAAAGAAAAGAATATTGTTATATTATTGACTAGCAGTTACCTGCGACTTCAACCGCATGAAATTTCCTTTATCGTTTAGACAGATAAATCTTTAATTTAATACAAATTACACACAATTGCACTTACATAAATGAGGACAATATACAGTTCGACAGAACATTAACTTAAGTTGGAGTAATTATGTGAGTATCCGCAGCAACATAAAAAGGTCGTAAGTTCAGTCTCAGAGATTCTTCCGGCAATAAAAACTGATTTTCAGATTCAACCCATTTGAGGGTACGTGGAAATATAATAATATGATAACACTTTATATTTTAGTAATCTGTTAATTTTATGAAAGATTCTTTCTCACATTATGTTTAAAAACATAGAGAGAGAAAGTACTCACCTCCAAACGCTGTCTTCTTCTCTGAACGTGGACCGTATGTAGGCACACTCTTTGTTGACAACACTTCGTTCTTCAGCAGCGGTCCTAGCTGCCCTGATCTGTCTAATGAGATCCCGGAGACGGGTAGGCGTGGGCATCCGCACTGAAACCGGCGCGACTGTTTACGGACGGCACACACACATAGAAAGCAGAGATCAGTGCATTTGTTTGAGTGAGCAACTTAAAGCTAAGCGACTAGATTAAAAATTATAGAAATACAAGCGTAGGAAATAGTGACGATATTTAAAAAAAATATCGCTTCAGAAGAGCGTTGTGCATAGAAAAAAAATAGTTTGATTAATAAACAGTAGCTAAAACTACTTAATAAGAGAGAACATCATTTAAGCGGATTTTAATGCGTGAGGTATCGTTAGGCTTTTAGTATTTGTGGCAGGTTGTATCATAGACTACATTATGACAGTACAAAGGGTGGTAATGAATTTTAAAAATTAGATAAAGATCTCCAATCCATGCCCCGTCGATTTCTAACGGGTATCAAAATTAAGTCGACTTTAAGGTTCGAGCCCCTAGCGGTGCCCTAAGACTAGAGTTCGCCTCCAGGCGGTCCATAAGTCCTTCCGCGGGTTTGGAGTGTCATTTGCACTCGTCTCCTATTGTTCGGTGAAGATTTAAAGGTTAGCAGCGGCAAAGAGCATTAGAATAGTTCGAAGAAGAAATTTCTTTACATATTCAATTATAATTTTTGGAAATTTGATTTGATAATTATTTCATGATTTTAATATATGTTGTGCAAATGTTTCGAAAATTATAGTGAAAGTGAAGGTTAAGTTAAAACAATATAAAAATTAAAACTATACGTTACTTTTTGCCACTACATACTAATGTGTTAAAGAAAATACATCGAATAAGAGTTATTTTAAATAGACGTCAGAGTATTAGTTCAAAGTCTATATTATTAGTAGTTAGCATTGGAAAATAATTAGGAAATACATTTTGAAGCATTTCTAAGTTTGAACAATTAACATGTATATTAGTCACTTTCTAATGACCTAGTTTTACCTGCAAGCAGTAATTACTATAATGCTATGTAGCGGCATGTTATGTACATAATTGAATTTAAAAAAAATAGTAAGTAAACAGGAAATTGCCAGTATGTTTTGCATTAATAACATAAACATATATTTCGAAATAAAATATAGCATATACCTAATACTCATAGATAGCATTGTGTACATTCATTATATACAAATAATAAATGGAATTTATACTTCTTATAAATTCCTTGGATAAACAAATGAGTACTGCATTTATTCGACTTGTGTATTAGTGTGTGGACTGATTACTACTATGATCCCGATGGACAAAGGATACATATTTACCTATTGTTCGATAGGTGAAAAAGGTTTATTACTTTTTAATACAATAATAGTAGTATCATCGTACAAGGAATCATGTCAATTTATCATTACAGTTGCTATAACTTCCTTCTAACAGACTATAAACGTGTATGACATTTGTTATCAGATAGTTTTATATATAAGTATAGATAATAAACGATACAAAATATAAACATAGTGTGAGTGAATTGTCAAAATTACAATGATGCTAAAAATTGCAAAGTGAAGTGTGAACTCTAATTACTATTAACTATGTATAATAGTAGTATGTAATATATTACTCACCTCTTTCGATGGCCTCATTTACAACCTGTTTTATTGTGGCAATATTAAACGCTGGGTTGAACCTGCAAAGATTTATTACCACATTATAGGTCATGTTCCATACCAGGATATCATAAGATGCTACTAGATTGCAACATTATGGATCATGTTGTTAAGTGCTTCTCATAACAGGATATTATAAAATACTATTATAGATCATGTTCCATACCAGGGTATCATAAGATGCTACTAGTATTACATTATAGGTATTGTTCTTAAGTCCTCATACCAGGATATCATAAATTGCGACTAGATATACAAATACAATAGACTTTGTATATAGACGACGTCTGCGTGGGTATCTTTGTGTCACCATTTCGGCCGTCAAGTAGCTGTCATTGTAAGAAATTTTTCGGTTGAAGACAATTTACAGTGTATGTATGTATGATATCATAGTCCTCCGTAATGGCATCGTATTATTTATATGGACATCACAATTTCATATTATCACGTGATGTTTGTAGTGACATTCATTTTTAGTAACATAAAATTAGATTATTATCGAAATTCTCAGAGGAGAATAAAAATTCGGAATGATTTACACGGGGGCTACCTATTCTCTCTATTGTGGTGGCTGAATTCTTTTCTTATAAGGATGTATGGGTTAAAGGAAGAGTAGATAATGACAAAGAAAAGGAAGTCCCGGTGCCCATTCCCTGGTCACTTCAATTCAATCAAGTCACGATTTAACATAAAGGGAGGACTATATTACTGGATGTGGTAAACTTAAGCGATAGATAACGAAAGCAATTAAATCTGATAAAAGCTAATTGGCTGATCCCATATTGTCAAAGAGGAATTAAAAAAGCGCTGGTACAAAAATCTCTAGGGGAGTTAATCAATTCAGCACATCTTTATTGAAGTTTTTCTTTAACAATAAAATCAACTTCAATCACAGATAAATGTATACACTGATATACATTATACATATACAATTTAACTGTTAAAGTAGTAGAAATATTAAAATTTCAATTATTAAAACTGTTCAGTAACGAAGTAGTAACATATGGATATTACTTATAGAGTGCTTGTGTAGCAAATTGGTGATGTGACACATGACTTAGGCGTCCATTGGCTACAATAACCTTTTACCATCAGATAGGCCGTATGCTTGTTTCCCAACAAGTTAAACATGCAGTAACTTTAAAATCATGTATTTATTCGAAAGGTAAAATAGTATTTCGAAATTTACCATTCAAATACAATTATTTAAAATTCTAAATTTATTTATAATACGATAATTTCACTGCATTATTCTAGGTAAATCTAATCTATGGCAATATTTATCTATAGGGCCTTATTGTGACCCTGTGGCCATTTGAACTACGTATATATTATTTCATTCCTTACATAACAAAATTGTTTACTTTTGTCACTTACTTAAAACAACACATTAATTGTGGCCTTATATTCATTACTCCGCAGGTGGATTTCAGGTTGTTTATCAGTTTCATTAATAGGTATTACTCATATAAAACAATATTATTTATGCATACATTATAAAACAAATGATCTACTATCTTAGTTGATTATACTGTGTTATCTAGGATAATTTTTATACCTATCTAATGCGTTTTTTATTTTTCCTAAAATAATGGACACTACACACTGTTCCCGCTGGACTATGTATGAGTATTGCCATTATTAGCATCCCTGGACGAAGAAGTAAAGGCATGGAAATGTATAGAATGAAGGGATGAAGAGATTACGGATATGATAGATCACAAGATTTATGAGGATGACATCCAGAACTAAATAAAGTGGTGAAGGTACAGGTCATAAGGTGTTAGCTGACTTACCACACTATCATGTGGACCACATAATTTAGAAATCTACATTGTTTGGATTGTTAATACTATGCAAATTATTATATTATTATTACTTATAAATGTTTCATGAGTTTTTTTTTTTAAATAATAGTAAATTTTTGGATTGTCATAGAATAGATAATCATTTGATGAATTTATTTTCAATACCAATGTTCTTGTATGACCAATTAGCATGCCATTATACAGTATCACAAAAGGAATTTAATATTTTGCTTTGTTTGTACATTAGATTTGTATGGCACATAACTTGATGCTAGTCTTATGTGTATGACGATCACCCTACAATAAATCAATATAATTTGATCATTGTATTAAGTAAACACAATATTATAAATAATTAAATATGTAGGTGTGTACACACATAAATACTTTAGTTATTAGAGTTCTTAATGACTCTTCATCAGTACATAGTATAAAACAAAGTTGGTGTAGTAGGTATCTTTAAAACTATACAACGGATTTTGATAGTTTTTTTAATAGAACGAGTGGTTCAAGAGGAAGGTTTATATATATTATACATGTATACCCGTGCGAAGTTGGAGCAAGTAGCTAGTTTAAATATATATTGCACTATAAAAATAACTCCAAGTTGATCAAAGTCTTATTTAACATATTCATTAGTGAAAAAATATTAATACAAAAAACTTGATGTTCATAAGCGGCTGAAATGTTGTAGATGAATAAATTATTTTTTATTTTAATTAAATGTTCGTAACAATTCATTCAACATAAATAAAAAATCATTTTTATTATTCAATATAAATCAAAATTCATTTATTACAATATCACAATCAATTTAATCAAGAATTAAATTCTATCAAATATTCCTTTTATTATGGAGTAAGTATATGTTTGTAAATACAATGTCTTCCATGTTGGTAGCATGCCATAATTATTATTTTATGATTACATTCTTTAATGAACCTAGTAGGAGAAAATATGATGGTACTGGTATATAATTTGTACTATGATTCTATTGTTTCTCATTCTTTATTCTTTTATTTATATTCTTCATTGCACCAGATACAGAAAACAAATAATGACACAAAAGCATGTTCAGAATATTTTTTTTATCTTTTAAAATAATTACATTTCCATTCATATTGAAGCTATCTCGCACACATACACAATATCTTACTGCTTTTCTAGAAGCTTGCTATATATTATCATATTGTTTGTTTACTGTAACACACAAATCATTCAGATTTGAAATGAATCTTCTAGATTAATTAAGATTATAAGATTATTTCACTATTCCCTGATTATTTTGAATGATCAGGAAATAGTGAAATAACCTTATTTGAAAATTTCCTAAAAATAGCGTATTGCAAGAACATCAAAAGTAAAACAAACAAATAAACAAACACTTTCATCTGTATTATTAAGAAATATGTGTTTATGGAGAGTAATCTTATGATATGATAAAAGATAACACTGATTAGATAAAAATGTAAGTAGATACTAACTTAGTAACTTTTATATTATCCACAGTAGATTTTTGTAACAAATATCATTAGTTTTTTTTATCTTCCGAAAATTGTAGTGACTACTGTAATGTTTTTGTAATTTCTTTTAATTGAATCTATATCATATTATCAATAATTGACATGGCCTTAGCAAAAACTATTTATTTATATTTCCTATATTTTAAAGGAAATAATGTCATAATTCAAGTTATTCCTTTGCTTAATCTATATAATATATATATTATATTATAATCCTTGCACATCTCTACAAACATGAAGTAATAAAAATAAGCTGTATGTTCTATGACCTTTGCTGTCTACAAGCCATACAGACATAGTAAAAATAATCACTAACCACAAACACAACTCTTGTTTGTAGGTATGATCACACTTGCCTATTATAACAGTGTATTTCCAGTTCTTTATATTTGCATTTTCAGGTCAAATTGCATAACAGAAGGTTTTCAAGAAATAACATAAAACTCTAATCTGTTTTACACTTTTTCCTTATATAAAATCATCACTAAAGTTGATACTTATCTAAAATAAATGATTAGGAAACCTAACTATTATAATTATTTTGAAGATGGATGCTCAACTATTAACGAGTATTAGGGGTAAATTAAAATAGACAAAGTTATGAAAAATGGAGCTGACAATGTTTAATAAAACAAGTTGTTGATTTTTATTACAACAGCAAGAAGTAGTTAGAGTTCTATTATTTAAACAAAATGTATGTTATAAGGTTTGTAACGGTCACAGAAGTTTGTTTATCAATCTAATTTTATGAAGTAAATAAAAGTCAAGAATATGTTACCCGGATTCGGAGCCGTTCATCTTGTCCACGTAAAGTATTCCTTTTTAATATGAACAGATGTCCTTTTGACAACACGATTACAGGTAAACGTTCTTGATCGGGGCAGGTGTAGAAGGGTCAAAAACCATTGAACAAAAAACACTTAAAACCGAGTTATTTATCACGGTATCACACTCAAATCATATCAGGAGGAACTGAAGAAAAATTATAAGTGTTTAACCAAGTCTAAAGGCATTTTATTGGTCACAAACCATAGAAATTTAAGAGAAATCGCACACCACCTCTTAAAACTTGTGTCATATTTTTACTTCAGATTCAAACGGAAACATTATATTTGTGTAATTTCGTATTTATTGACGTATCACAGTAAATTAGTCCAATAAATATTTTATCACAGAACTCAAATTTATAAAGAAATAATACGACAGCCGCCAGCTGACATTTCCGTGGTGCGTTGCAGGAAATTCAACATGGCCGACAACTCTTGTGTGACGTTTGCTAAATTTTAGTCAAATTCTTATCTATTCACGTCTCGTTCATGAATAGTCTAAACAAATTTAATAATAGGTAAATTTATAAATAGCATTATACATCTAACTGTTTAAATTACTCCTTTTTTTATCAAATTAGGTTAAAAAGAATTGTTTTGATTGTAGTGGAAAAAAAAACAAGTCGAATTTCTGAACGGATTTTACACAAGTTTTATTTCGAAATATCCGCTTTTCCTATTTTCTGTATTAAAATATGTTTTAATTTGTTTTGCATCATTAATTCTTTTTTGTTTCAAATATGGGCATATTACACGTTAGTTTTTAGTTCTATGACTAATTTACGACCTACCTTCTATTCTGTTCTGGAGGCAAAACACTCCAATCCACTTCATACATTGGATATGCCATAATTATAAAGAAATATAACTTTACACGTTTAAAAACTAATTATTGTTCATAAAAACATTTTACACTGAATCCACAGCATTGCACGACGGTACAAACTAGACTGTTATCAGAAGTGTTTTATCAGGTGTAGGCTCCAGCTCAAATATATCCAGTAATTGCGTATCTCTTATCAAAAGGTATTATTTATCAGTAAAAAAGGACAGCAACACAGTTTCAAATAAAATTTTATTTTTAAATGTCAATATGGTATGTACAAACAATGGGACGTGTCACATCATTATCTAAATTGGAAAACTCATTATTATTCATTGTATTTAGTGTATGATACGTGCATATAGCTCGTACCGTCGGCTATAAGTTGTCTTCGTGATTTCGCGGCGGTCGGTCGACGCTATTTCTTTTTATGCAGTCCACTAGCCACCGAATGCCTTCATCCACACCGTCACTGTAATTAAAAATTACTCTATTACATAAATTTACTGAATCACGTTAGTTAGAATAACAAGTGTTATCTCTATGGCAAATAACATTATCAATAACCAGTACTCATACTTTTGCTGCTCAATTAGAAGGATTAACTCTACCCTGATTCATTGATATTTACTTTATTACATATAATTTTTATTGCTTATATTGTATGGGATTTTTGAGATTACAAATGGCAACACTGTTTATGAAATATAATATACTTTTTTTATATTTTATACAACTTAAAAATAATATATTAATATAATTTATAACTTACCCATTTAAAGCTGATGTTGCCATTAACATGATGTCTCGTGCACCAATAAGGTGTGCATTCTGGTTGAAGATTGGCTTGACAGTGTGCACACCCATGCAGTCTGGAATGTCTTGTTTGTTGGCCAGTACCAGCAGTGGTACCCCAGAGAGGTGTTCAGATGCTATCATCCTGTCTGAAATTATCCATGGTTAATCTGGGTATTATTTTTGTTAATCTTAGTTAAATATTGAGGTATAAATTCTAAAAAGTCAACAAATATTTGTTTAAGCTTAGTTATTAAAAGTATATGAAGATAGTAAATTTTAAGTCAATCTATTATTTTGTGCACCTTAGAAATACCAGGAAATATTTTTAGTGCTACCTATAGCACAAAAATATTTTCTGATATTGAGTGCACTGAACTATAAGACCAAATATCCTCACCGAATGTTTCTTTTGATTCTGAAACTCGGTCTCTGTCTGAGGAATCGACAATGTAGATGACAGCATGACACTCAGCATAGTACTGCAATAAAAACATATACTGTTTAAGCAACATATGCAGTCACTTTTAAAAATAATTGCAAATCTATACAAATATTATAAACTAGCTGATCCACAGAACTTGAGAACACCTACACTAACTTGACATTTATCATTATATTCAGTACAATTTACATAATATCTTTTTAAATTGTTAAGTTTCGTCAAAATCCGTTCAGTAGTTTTTGCATGAAAAAGTAACAAACATCCATCAATAGTGAGTATGGATGGATGTCCATCCAAACTTTTGTGTTTATAAGTAGTATATATTAGTAAGCTGTAAGATTGTGACTGTCTGTTTGTTACATAATTGTGGCTAAAACAGATCATTAGTAATCATCCATCATTTATCTCTCATGCATGTCATTCATTTTTGACCCCTCCCCTAACCTTGTTATAGTTGTTCAGATTCATGAGATTACTCCTCCCTCATATGACATCACACTTTCAAATTTGAACTATTTTTCTTGTTAGTTTAAACTTTGTGTTGTAATACTTAGATATATTAGATATTGAAATTACAAAGTCTAAAATAAAATAATAAAATTTAGGATCCCTCCCAAATTGTTGACTCCCACCATCACCCCCTATGGAAATTGATTTATGTTCAGTCTCTTATGAAATTTGACATGCTGATGCATTTTGAAATTAAAGATAACATCTGTGTTCATCCATACTCTATCTTTACACTAAAATTAGTTAAAATAATTTAAATGCCAAATTATTTTATGTACTGCATATTTTTTTTAATAATAGCAGTTTATTTGATAATGTATATAATAATATATGTAAGTACAGCAGCTTCCTCACGGTGCATCAATGGACAGCTAAGAAATTTATCTCTTATTACATTTGAAATACATTACAAAATAAATTTACAGAAATAAGGTGCAGAATCTGGTCTTGTCATATAACTAATCTCTTCCAGCACAACTTGGATAGTGAAGATGGTAGTGGTAATTTTTTTTTCATATTACTATTGTTCTGAAATGACTTATGTTAATAATTATTACATAAACTGTGGATTTTTTACTATAAAAGAAAAATAAATAAACCTATAACTTCAGCCAGTTCTTATTTGTAGAATTATTTTGGTAAATGTAGTAAATATTTCGTTCATTATCACAATATTATTTAAATTATCCAATTTTTCTAAGATCGGTTTATGTATAAAAATATTATGTTTTGTGAAAAGGTGTTCTTTCTTTTGTAGAAATATAATATGAATCGTATTTGAAGTTATCTGTGATAGTGTAGAAAACTAAAATAAATATGAGGTGATAATAATTAATTTGTTACTATACTTTGTCCCATAAGGATTGAAGTTCTTGTTGTCCACCCAGATCCCAAAAATTTAGTAAGACTCCGTCAACATCTATTTTGCCAATATTTAATCCAACAGTTGTTGTTATTCTGTTAGGGTTCATCGCTTTATATTTCTTAGTAAATTTTGTTTTAGTTGCTTCCAAATACGTCTGAAATTTAAAAGAAATATATGTTTTGTAGTACTTTTACTTTGTCATCAACTTTATATTGTTGGAATATTGTATTTTTACCGTTTTGCCTGCATTGTCAAGACCTAAAATTAATACACAGTATTCGTCTTTCTGTATCAAATACTTATAAAATCCATGAACTAATGTGTACATTTTATAACATTTTTTTTAAATAAAAATAAACAAAGTGAAAATCAGCACAATTTATTGACATTATATGTATAGCTAGGGATGTCGGATATAAGTCATATTCGATACTTTCGTGTTCGATATCAAGAACTTTTGTTATCGAGTCAATCCTTTATTCCTTGTTTATTACTTTATATACTTTGTTGGTATCTAAACAAAAGTATTGGTATCGAATCGTAAGTACTTATATTGAATTTAAAGTATTTATAGATTTATTAATTTTATAGCCTAGCTGTTCCTGCGCCTTCGTCCGCGTGGAATTTAATTTAATTTGACTAAAATCACAGATAAGATAATATTACATACTAAAATAAAAGTAGCCTAAGTTACTCCTTATTGCATCAGCTACCTACCAAAAAAAGTCCCGTCAAAATCGGTCCAGCCATTTCAGAGATTAGCCAGAACAAACAGACCGACAGATAGACAGACAAAAATTGTAAAAAGTTATTGTTATTTTGGTATATGTACCGTATTTATATTCATATGCATGTAGTAAAAAACGGTTATTTCAATATTACAAACAGACACTCCAATTTTATTTATATGTATAGATGTATTATATTTATTTAGATAGTATACCTGGGACCTTATTGTTGTACAATGATACATACTTATATTAATAATTTCAAGAGGATTAAAATCTATATTTTTACAGGTATTACAAGAATCATTTGCAATTATACAACTTACCCTGTATCTTTAACTCTTAAACCTGTTATACTTAATCCATCACCATTGAGAATTATTCTTAACAGCATTATGTAATTTAGGCTCTGATGACATAAAAATAAATGGTCATTCGATAAACAAAAGCACAAGTATTTAACTCAAATAATTTTAAAAGTATTTGGGGTCTTTTTTCTAAATAAATTTAGTATAAGTGGGTATCGATACCTGGTTGGTGTTGGCACATCTCTAATTATATTACCATAGAGTACAGACGTCGAACACAGATCTTATGGTGTACACAGAGTATATACCAGCATCAAAGAGTTATGTCTCAATATTATTCGGCTTTTTTTCATAATTTTGCCCCGGCGCCCAGGTGCGGCGCGTAGCGGTGATTTGTGTTGTCGTTAGCCATAGACTAATCGGTTCTTTCATGTACTATAGAAAAGCTTAATGACATAGAAGTACAGCGAACTGGAAGAGATAAACTTATTGCGAAGTATGTCTCTTTCTAAAAGAATACTCTCTGTATGATACTTATTGTAGTGAAACCTTGCTCAGTTATTAAACATTTGAAATTAAAATTAAAATTGACTTTTTTGCATACTGAATTTAATGGATAATTTATTACAAATGAAATATTTTTATGTTATGAAATTGAAATTATTACGTTAACATTTTATTATCATTACATGGTATAAAACAAAGTCGTCGCTGTCTCTCCGTCCCTGTGTATGCTAAAATCTTTAAAACTACGCAACGGATTTTCAAGCCGTTTTTTTAAACAGAAAGAGTGATTCAAAAGAAAGGTTTATATATATGATACTTGTACACCTGTGCGAAGCCGGGCCGAGTAGCTAGTTAATTTTATATAGGACGATTTTGATAATTCTTTTAGCTGACCTGTGGAGCTTCTGCAACACACTTATCAATATATATAGCCCAATTTACATAATAAATTTAGCCTATGTGTTATTCTATTTCGCATTTCTAACATTAAGATAATTTCTGGGCTTGGTATTAAATTTTATTAATAATATCGAATGCTATTTTGCGCCTATCTTTCAGTTAATGCAAAATATTTGTTAAGTAATGTTATTAGTATTGCACTCTAAACGATTATTGAAAGAACAACGAATGTTAATGCTCGGTATTTTTTCATTGTAAGTTCAAATTGGTTGGAATGCCTTATTTCTTTTCTCAAGCAGTTTGCTTTGTAAGTCGAGTTTCGTGAGATATGATAGTAATATCACAGGGTATGGAGGCATATGACGATTGCTACTTACCATTGAGTAGGTCGTCAGCTTGCTTTCCATTTCCGTTACATAAAAATAAAATGAAACATCATAAAATTTTACAGAAAAGCTATCAGTATATTGGAGAAAATCACAATCATCATTGGTTAAGCCGTTGAAGAGAACAGCGTATCTACATGAACGCAGAAACTGATTAATATTTACATTAGAAAAATAATTTGTGTCTTCAGTATTCCGACAGGTCAGGAAGTTCATACCTAGGTCCTTATAATATTGCTATAATGATCTATATGAATGATTAAGATGTGTTTTTTAAATAGTTTAAATAGCATACGTTGCATCACTAATTCGATAGTAATTTTATGATGTTACTACAGAGTATACCTATGTGTAATTTGGTAATTAAAAATATAATTGACAGCTTAAAAAATAGAGTCAAATGTTAACAATTTGTTATAAAGTTGAATAGCAATAAGTTTATTTAAAAATGCCTCCAAAAGATGCAAGAAAAGGAAAAAAAACTCCAACAACATTGGAAAATTTGTCAAGTATTTATGGAGAGATTGAAGATATTGATACTTCTCCTCGGAGTGTGAGTCTCACTTTAGTTTTGGAAGGAGGGAGTCCAGGTCCAGGAGATTGGCCCTTTATAGCAATATATAATGGACATATAGTATTGGAATGTAAATGGAGTGATGGACTAGTTCTTGAAACGGATAGTTTTCTTGCAGATATCAATAATCCTTATTTTCAAGATACTGCAGCGGATAAACCTCTTGTTCTTTTGCTTCGTACAGTTAGTGGAAAAGGAGCTAAAGATCCAGATCCTTTGTTAAACTTGGATAATCGTGCAGGTGCTACAGTGGATATGTTCCCATTAATATTAGGAGAGGATGAAATATTCATTACTGTTCCACTGGTTTTCTTAACAACAGGAGAAAGTACAAGCTGTAAAGTACAGGTTCATGCTAAGGTTAAAGGAAATATTGAAACTATTCATAAAGTTCCGTTGATTCTTACATTGATATCTGCACATTGTATCCCTATATCCAAAGATGGTACTGTTTATGTAGCAGCAATTGGTCTAGATGGTCTTCTAGACCAATCAGCAGTTAATTTTGGCTTATCGCTGAGCACTTCTGCCGCTACGAAAATTATGTGGGCATCAGCTAGCAATGGTGGCCAGGCAGCTAACACATTATTTAATATTTCAAATCAAGACAAATTTATACCTCCGGATTTTGAGGCATCGAATAACGAAGAATGTAATTCTGCGTATTGGAATGCTATGAAACGAGTTCTTGTAAATCCTTCGGTATTACGAGAAAGATTATCTAGGCCATTACTAATCGAAGTGGCTGGCGTGCCTCGTTCTGGAAAAGTAGATGTTCGTGGCCGGTATATGGGGTTTATTGACGCTAGGGTACTACTAGAACCAGGTCAGTGTGGTGTTACTATTTGTGCTAAGCTACTATTTTTTAAAGAAAATGAACTCCCGGGAAATGTTCGTCCATTATTAGAATTACCACCAACAAGTGCCAAAATCAGTGCTCGAGAAACAGATATCGTTATTGATGCCTTTGGCCACAATGCATACATTGTACTTAGATTTGATTTAATAGAACCTCTTACGCCTAAATCAAAGATTGCATGGCTATATGAAAGTATTGGATTTATACCTCCCGAAGGTCCGTTAGTACCAATGAATGATTTAGAATGTAATGCAATTTCTGAAGATACTATGGTGGATGTAAAACGAGTATGCAAAGAATGCGGTGCATTAGCTGTTCATAAAGAATTAAGTGGCTTAGCATGTAGAGGTGTAGTCCCTATGAATCAAGGTATTAAAAGAACAGCAGCTAATCGTTTGCTGATGCGAGTGAGAGCAATGATTAAACAGTTTCCCCCTGGTGAATGTTCGTATATAGATTGGCAAGATACAGTTACAGCTCAACATGCAGCATGTAGACGTGCTGTGACTTCTTCTTTTGAGCCTCAGCCCCCACCATTACGACTTCCCTCGCGTGTAGCTGCAGCGAGATGTCGATTAGCAGGGGACAATACAATGGCAGATGAACACATGAAAACGAATTTAAAAGTAGCAGGATCTCACCCCAGGTCTCTACTATCAAAGGCTTTAAGGTGTTTAGAGAAAAAAAATGATACAGATGCTCGGAATTATATACTTCAAGCTTTAAGTGGCCAATCAAGGAATAGATTTTTGTTATGGCTTTTTGGAGCTCAGGAATTTGACAAAGGGCCTGAGGCTACTAATGCGGCTGCTGCAGCTTTTAGACTTGCTGTAAAAGGTGATTTTTCTGAAGGTACTACAAATGCTATTGGATGGGCAGCATTACACACTTTCTATCATTTTAATGAAAATCCTTATGCAGCCTTTGTAGCAATACAGAAAATGAGGAAGTCATATGAACTACCAAGGGAATGGAAGAAATTTCTCCAGCGGTGGCTGGAAACTAGCGGAGAAGAAGAAGTGTTTTGGATACCTGCGGTGGTAGCACCAAATAATCCTTTGCTGCTTGCAGCAACTTTGTTTCTTTGTTTACGTTGCTACGTGTTTAGTGAACGACTTTTACAATGTGTTGAAATGGGCTGTGCCACCCGTGGTTCTCGATTTGGACTGATCTCGATAATTAGCCCTGACTTATATTACATTCGAGCTGCTTCGTTTCTCTTAAGGCATGAGTTAGACAAGGCTTTAGAAGTTACAAATGAGGGGATAAAGAGATTTGGACCTAGTGCTGTACTGTCTCAGATGCGTCTCTCATGTTTGACTTGTAAACGAGGGTGGGATGGTGAGTGTGAAAAAGCGTTATTAGAGGCAGAAAAAGCTGGTGCAGAGCTATGTCCCGCTGTCCTTTTAAGGGCAGCTATTGGTAATTTTAAGATAGACCTCAAGGTATCTCTTCAACGAGCTGCCCGTGCTCATAAAATAGCCCCATGTGCACATTCTGGATTGATAATAAGTCGAATATATATGAAACTTGGTGAGGAAATATTATCAGAGCGCTGGGCTTCAGCCGCTGTGAAATTTGAACCACTGCTATCAGATGGTTGGGCAGTTTTGGCTCTACTAGCAATGTACCAAAGGAATTTAGACAAAGCTAGGGCTATGTTGCGAACTGCAAAGCAGGTCGGGTTTATCAGTTCAGATATACAAGAAGAAGTGAATAAAGTTATCGAGATTACTAAATTAGAAACTTTGCCAGAAGCATTGCAAAAAAAAATTTGTTTCTGTGAATATTTTTGATTGAAGCACTTTGTCCATTCGTGTATGCATATCTTTTGCATATCTATATTTAATTATTTAAAGAACCCAAAGTTTGATATGGACTTTTAAATAAATGTACTATAGTAAGGTGTCATTTGATTAAAGAGATTACTTTTTCAAAATTTCTTATTTTTAGCTTACTATTTTACTTATCATCAACTACTAATCTTACCTTCAAAGTTAGTAGTAAAAATCTAATATAATCGTTATTGATAGCGTATACTTTGATATCCCATCATCAATAAATATTTTAATCCTAAGTAAATTAAAATAAAAAGTAGTAGTTCATTCGGAACTTCTCGATGTGTGAGACTCGTACATTCTCGTTGTTTATTAATAGAATATCTGCATCCGCGACCTCTTTCTTGTGATGTTTACCTAGATGTTATTAGTTGCATATAGAGCAATATAATGCAATTGTAACCTATATATGTTTATACACGCAAAAAAATTAACAGACATATATACTTGTTACCCACTCCGGCTTCGCACGGGTGTACTTAGTATACTCTAATTATTGCTAAAAACTGCATTAAAATCCGTTGCGAAGTTTAAAAGATTAACCGAACAGACAGCAAAGGCGACTTTGTTTTATACTATTTAAATATATATATTATAGGTAACTTATATAAAATAAGATTATATTTTTTGTTTCGAAAAGACGCTATTAAAAAATAATTACTGTTTTATACAAGTATATTCTGTTCACTAATATGAGAATTAATTAATTAATTTTTTTTAAGTACTGTTTAAAGAAACAAAACAAATCGATATAAATAAAATACCTAGTTAGTAAATCTACGTATTAGTTCTTACTAGTTGAATATAGCAAATCAAAAATTATTTAGTCATGTAGGACATTTTAGCTGTTTAGGAACCTAAAATTTTATGAATTAATATTCTTTCCTTAAAAGACAGATAAACATACGAAGCAGTGTTTTGTAAAATTGTTAAATATCTATGTATCTTATACTAGTAGACCCGACGGATGTTGTCCTGTCTTTACTATGAATATTGAGTTACCGCATTATATATAGTAAACATTAAAGAAAACTACAAATATTTCGCGAAACTTTCTAAAAAAAATTATATGTATTTTTGTCAAAAGCAAATAGTTTAATCGCTGGCCATACATAACCCACACACGTTCATGAGTATGACGAAGTTTGCTTTATAAACATTATTTCGGTTCAAAAATCATATGTCAGTGAAATTATATGTTGACCCCACAAAAGTTGAAATTTCAACTTTAATTACCTATATTTAAGTATATAAAATTCATTATGTAGATTATATTCATAAATGTGATATCGTTAAAAGTGCCTAATAATAATTAATTATAATATTTACTACGTAATTTAATAAATTTCAATTAAGAACACATATGCAAAATGCTGAAAATTGTTATTAATACAGATTTTTTTTAATGGATAGTTATATTAGGTATAGTAGGTAATATCGGTGTACGCTAGTGGTGCATCATGAAATGGTGAATGGATGAGGAAGAAATTAGTAATATTATTATTCTTTTAATAAATTACATTAATTATTTTAATAAACCTTACTGCTAAATTCAAGGTGGCGAAAAACTTTTGTGACATTGGACTGCAAGGAGTGGCATTATTATTATACAGTAGTGATTACTTATATTTGTTCTTCTATAGACGTATATTTTATAGTAGTTAATATGTGTGATAATGTGATAATGAAATTATAAGTATATAAATTCATACTGGAAAATTTGGGATGGCGAAAACCTTTAGCGAGATAAAACTGCATGGAGGAGTGATATTACTATTAAACGTAGTGATTACTTTCTCAGTGATAGTGATGACTATAATGAAGGTGGCTATAGATATTCATTAGAAGATTCTGGGAATTACCGCAAAACGGGTTCCATGCGGTCGAAGAGACGACTTTAAGTTAGTACGCTTTGAGTCAAATAGATCTGAAGATACTTAGCAAGTTTAAATTCTTACTTCTAATTATATTTGCTAGTAGTTAGTTACAGGTTGTGACTACGAAACGGACCTGTATCACACAAATAGAAGTGTCTCTGTCCTATAAATAGATCATTTTTCACTCTACGACTCTATTACTCATGAACAGTGCATCAGAATATAGTACTTGTTGTTTACCGCTCGTCTTATGTAGGTTAGATTCTTGTTACATACTCACTATACCTATCATTATCTATACAAAGATAAAAATGATAAGCTGATAGCTAAACAATTCGTTTCAGCCAATTAGAAAGAAACATATTATTTATAATACGTACACACACGAAATTTAGTCATTTTTTAAAAAACAAAAAGATAAAGTGATAAGTGGTCCAATTATAGATAAAATATTGTCGAATGCTACAAGTCGCCGAGTGTTTAATTCTGTACCGCGGTTACTATATTGCATCAGTGGCGAGGAGACTTACGCGGTCGAACGAGACGACATAACACACAAAACATTCTCTGTTGTGGAACAGAACGAGCACCTACCACACCGTTCCTTTGTTTTGATACTCGTTTCATGCGAATTCTCGGACATGTGAACACGAAATACCGCAACAATGGCTATATCTACAAATTGCTGGAAATATCTCGTCTTAATCTTTAATATTTTGTTCGCAGTGAGTATTACTTTCTATGTTTTCATTGAATATTATAATTATTTTGATAGTTATTCTCAAAACAGTGGCTATTCAACGCCGTTGTCATAACAACTCTTTGTAAATAAAATATAAAGTGTATATTTTTCTACAACATTAGAAGTTTATGACCTTTAACTTTTAACACTAGCTTTGACTTTATGAGTCAGATTTCTTAGTTAGATGATTTCTATTGAGTGCATTGAACGTTCAAGTATAAAGAATTAAATTCTGTTGGCCACACATCAGAATTCGATGGCGCTAGCAGTTCTAAGCATACAGAATAGGAAATACATAGAGTTGACATTTTCTTACTGAGAAAATAGTAAAAGTTGAGCGCGTTTTCATCTGGTCGGGTAATATAGTCAATGCTTTTCTATTAAAGTTTCCGTATTTTCTCGACAGATGTCGGCTGTTGTCCTGTTTGGAGTCAGCGGCTTTCTATTGTATCGGCTTTTCGTATACCGTCACTTCCTAGGAGTGAATGTGGAATACCCAGTTATACTGCTACTCATGATGGCTATAATCACATGTTCTATTGCTTGGATAGGCTGGAGGACGGCAAAGTCGCTGCATCAGATCCATATTATAATAGTAAGTATCGCTACATATAACTTTCTAGTAATATTCGAAATTTATTCATATTCACGAGATATCAATTATTATTACACTACACTGCTCGTAAAGCGCCATCTAGTCGCAAACTAAGCAGCCCTATGGGTTCTAAATATATTTCTATATAAATTTGTATAAATAGAATATAATATACAGAGATCAATCAATATTAATAAATATATCTGTAAGTGCATACATACTCGCGAACAAGTAAATATATGTATTGGCCACCCAATACAAAACATGTAAATACAAGTATTTACTTGTGTTTACAGTACCTTACTATCGGTATGTAATATTATGTTATCTGTGCTATCGGATAGTGACGAATTCAATTTCCACAAATTTATTCTTTACTATTGAATACTGTAAATGTATGATTTTTATGCAATTTTTTGAGAGCAATTCTCATAAATACTAATAATTAATTAGTAACTACCATATTATTTATACTATATGTATGATTTCGTAGAAATATTGTGTGCCGGTGTAATATCTGACTAATTCTGAATGATCAAATCGATTAATAGATTACAATTAATCTTTTTCTGCATGTCAGTGCATCCATTTAAAGCCGGGGCGGTTATCGATTTAATACTATTTTATGAGGAAATATCAGCCTTGTATGTTATTGCTTACCGTTACCATCAGTGACTATGAGAATGAGTAAGACGACGTCCGTTCGGCTCTGATGATTTTAATATCATTTTATATCTATGTACATTCATTATTATGTTTCCTAGAATCTATTGTTATCTATTTATTTCTATATAAAAAAATAGTAATTAGTTTTTGTCGTTCTAATCATATGATTAAATAGAGTACAGTACGTATGCTAAGCTTCAAATTAGTCGATCAGCAATCACAGTATTGAGGGTGACTAAATGATAATTTGATTTTATTTAATCTGTGTAATGGTATAAACTAGGGTTTCCAAGACCAAATTTAAAAAACCACGATTGCAAGTTCAAAAAACCAGGATTATCCTATTTAAAAACAGACAGTTTAAAAAACGCAGTAATAGTGTTGTATACGTAATAAAAGTCAAGTAATTCATATAATCAGGTTTTTAATAAAACGTGTTTGATAAAATTATATTGTTGAAAATCAATAATTAAGAGGCGCGCATATTTTAAAAACCCAGGACGCTGCCAAATAACTATTCAGGACTTCCCAGGACACTTCAAAAACTAGGACATGTCCAGGGAAAACAGGACGGTTGGGAACTCTATTATAACCATATAACTGATTGAACATATTTTAAATTTATGATATTGTACTCCTCAGTATGATTGTTGATTCTTTTATTATTCAACAGTCTTATATATATATATGAACAACAAAACAGTAGATAAATAATATTATAACTGATATGATTAATTTATTATCTATTAAAGCGATTTGCTAAACCACTAGTCCATCAATACAGAGTAAAACCAAATTTATATAACTAAATCATTACTAAGCAATACAAAATGTTATACAACTATATAATAGTTTGTACTATTATCTTATCTGTGATAATAGTAATAAAAATAATAATAATAATATCATATATAATATAATAATCTCAAGACAATTCACACAGCGCCATCTAGACCCAAGTTAAGCTAGCTAAAGCTTGTGTTATGGGTACTAGACAACTGATACAAATACATAGATATTTATTTTTTCGTAAATACATACATAATGTACATAGAAAAATCCCAGACCGACACAAACAATCATACTCATGAATACAAATATTGTGCCGTGCGAGGAATCGAACCCGCGACCATTGGACGTAAAGCGGTGTGCTAAACCACTAAACCACCGAGGTAGTTACGAGGTCGACCTGGTTTTTTAAAAATGTAGTAATAGATTAATTTTATATATTCGATTTTGCAAAAAGTAGTCGGCGTGGGTACCCAGTCTCATCCATTTGAGCTGCTAAGCAGCATTGCTTTGGTATCTGTTTTTCGGTGGAAGGATGAGATTAGGCAATGAAGATAGGATAGAGAGACGACATTTTGGTGCTCCGGAATGGCAACGCATGAGTGGTAAAGAAGGCGTCAAACGATAACGTGATATCTGAAGTATTCTTTTATAATATACGATAGTTATCGCCTACCATCAGCTGGACTGTAGCTTGTTTGTCATTACAATTACATAAAAAGTACAATTATTTTTGGTAATATAATAACATCTTAATCAGTAATTTTTATACCGATTGTTCAAATTAAAATTATAATTACCTGGTTATTCTCACGTATAGCAATTATACATAATTTATACTTTATAGCAATTAATATTACATAACAAAAACACAGTCTTTTTTAGCCATAATAAAAAGTCAATATGTACAAAATAATGGGAACTAACGGACAAGATTCATTGTTATCAATGTATCCTACTAGTATTGAGTTTAGAGAAGAAACCCTGAAATCCTTCTTGGTTAATTCCTGCTAAATAAATAAGCCACAGTTGACATACCGAAATGCATCATCATTATCGTATCATCCTCAACTGATACTCGGCTACGGATTTCGGAATACCTACCTGATAATGAAAATAAGACAAGTAATCCATTCCATAGGGGGGAAGGGTAAGGGAAAGGAAGGGCCACTAGTAATACCCATTGTTAGCAATGTATCATGTTAGGTCGACCTCCACGCGGCTCCTCCTGGAAACCATCGTGATAAATTTCTATGTGAATTTGTCACGATGGGCTGCCGCGAACTGTTAGCGCCACCATTTCATTATGAAGCACAAAAAAAAATAATTCCATCTTCATTCATGCATTAAATATAACGAGCACAGCTAGCACTAGAACACTATATTTTTGTTTCCCTCGATAAACTCCACATATTGATTTTATTTTTAAAGCATAAGGGACGATCTTGCTGCTCACCAGATGGTAAATGAGCAACCGCAACGTCATGGGAATTGCAAGTGCGTTCCCGGCCTTTTAAGAAGGGATAAGCTCTTTTCTTGAAGGTTTCAATATCATATCGGTTCTAAAATACCATCACTGGAAAGTGATTCCAATTTGTGGTTGTGCATAGAATTTTTTTTTGGAAAAACGCTCCGTTATTCATCCAGATAATCAGGATGGTAATTTTTCTGGCGGGTAGCTCACAGCCTTTCTTCCAATGTCCGCTGGTTTGATTCCTCGTACTATGCAAATATTTATATTAATTAGTACCAATTTGTGTGTAAAAAAAATGTATTTTAGTATTTTTATCACTTGTTCAGTGTACATAGTATAAGCTCTGCTTAGCTTGGGACTGGATGGTGCTGTGTGAATTATTCAAAATTATTATTTCTATAGTCCTAATTTCTTGAAATCTCCGTTTTCAGACTGGCCTCCTCGTAGTCCTCGTGGTGATAATAGAGTTCTCCTGCTTCGTGTGGGCTATGGTGGTCTGGGATAACATGGAAATCGACATAAAGAGCACCATGACGAACTACTTCGCGGAGTCCATTGCAACAGAGGATCCCAACTCTGCTGCTACGATTAGATGGGACAATTTACATGTTAAGGTACATTTTAATTTATACTTCCGAAGTTATATTTTTTATTATTGGTGGCACTAATAGCTTCTACTAGGTTTTTCTATAAACAAATCAAGTTGCCATGTGACACCGACGATATCTTTAATAAGTTGCTATTCCATAGGATAGACGGCCTTGGTGGTTTAGCTGTTTAGCACACTGCCTTACTTCTAATGGTCGCGGGTTCGGAACCGAACCATCAGAAGTTTGTATTCATGAGTATGATTGTTTGTATCAGTCTGAGTGTTTTCTATGTATTATACATACAGTATTTATAAAAAATATATATTAGTATCAGTTATCTAGTACACATAACACAAGCTTTAGCTAATTTAACTTGGGTCCAAAAGTGTATGTGTGTGTGAATTGTCCTAATATTATCATTATTAGGATAAGATGTCTTGTCTCTTATCCTTTAATTTCACCTCCAAATCTGCACCCTACAATCGAAACACAGCTTTCAAAGCAACCTGCTAGGTGGCTGAAATAGATGTTCATAGCTGAAATGGTACCCCAAGCAGACGACTTTCCAGTCTACCTCTGGTAAATGAAATAGTGCTTATTCACTCTCCTGTCATCATAAACTACAACTTGTAAGAGAAGGGGAATGCTGACGCTGAGAGAGGTCAACTCCTTTAAATCTTTTTGCTGTTTAACAGCAAATAACGGTTTCACTATTTAAAAAAAGAATATTACAAATCTGACTGTTATATATTTTGTAATTTTCAGTTTGAATGCTGCGGGGTGCATGGTCCAAGTGACTACACAGCGTTAGGTCGTGTGCCACTCTCGTGCTGTGGCCAGGGGCCATTAGACGAGATCCACAAACCATACGCATCTGACTGTTCAACGCTGTACCAGAGAGGTTGCGGGAAGCCGGTGCACGACTACGCAAAAGAACAGTTGGTACTTGTAGCGATGACGGCGCTGTGTGCGTCCATATTGCAGGTTAGTAAAAAAAGTGGTTTATGACTGGACATCTGCACATGAAAACTGTTGAAATTATTACGTACAGAAAGTCTTCATCTTTACATAGAATAAATTTATACAATCTTGAAGAGACAAAAATTGCCTGTCATTTTTTAATGGATGACAATGGAATAGTAGGCCTATCTGCGCTAAAGGTTTCCGCTGGCGGGGCACCAGATAAGATGAGCATGAGGTCAGGTCAGTTTTTTTTGGGAATGAGAGTGGAATGGTACACCCGCCTGCGCTAACGGTTTACGCTGGAGGGGCACTAGTGGAGGATGATAAGATGAGCGTGAGGTCAGGCCAGTTAGCCCATCGTGACAAATTCACCAGTAATTTATCACGATAGTTTCCAGGGGGAACCGCGTGGAGGTCAACCTGACATGGTTAGGTTAGGTGAGTTCGTCCATCGTGACAAATGTCACTGCCTGTCGTTGCCTTGTCTGGAAAAAGGCAGGAGCAATTACTCCTGCTTCATAATTAGGATAAAATTTTCACAACACCAACAAATTATTATGTTAAATATTATTAAATATATAGGCTAAATAAACCTCAGAAAAACACAGCCCCCACCCATATGTGGAATATGTAGATATGTGAATGCAATAAGCTATACGAATATTATAAAGAAAAAAAATATTTGCTTGTTTGTTGGGAATGTTGGGATTGAATAGGTTCGGAAACTATTGTACCCATTTGAAAAATAGTTTCACAATTAGATTTCTACATTATGCCTGATGACGTTATGGATGTATGAAAAATTAACATAACCCAACCTGTTAAAAATACAAAAAAAAAATATATCGCGTATGCTAAACTATTGTCGATAGAGCAAAGTGTACATACATCCTTTGCTCTATCGATAGGATCACTTTGCTATAGTTTTATAGAGGAAATTAATACCGAAGGTGTATATGTATTAAAATTTATAATGTTCGAAATGTTTGTTAAATACGCCGTTGTATGAATATTATTAATACGCCAGCTACAATTTTATTCATTAAATTTATTAATAAAATATGGTTTCTATAGATGCTCCATTTTATTTTTATTGATGTCGTTTGATTATAATTATTGTCAATAGATGGATAATTACAACTGTACACGCATACATATAGTCGCAGGGACCACTAGTATGAAATATTCATAAAATAAAGACGAGACTTACAATTCTACCCTGTATTATACGTTTCATATTTTTTTCATGTTCGTTTCATGTTTCCTACCAGAAACTTTTTACCACGAATCACCTTCCAGTAATAATATTTTCGAACCGATACGATATTGATAATTTCAAGAAAAGAACTTATTCCTTCTTAAAAAGCCGGCAACTCACTTGCAATTCCTCTGGTGCTGCGGGTGCTCATGGGCGGCAGTAATGATTTAAAATTATCTGAGCTGCAAGCTGTTTTGACCTCTATGCTAAATAAAAAAAAAACACAGCGTAGCGAGTCCGCTAGAGAGACGCGTCGACATTCCAATACTCGACTGATTAGACGTTCCACATCAAAATTACTTTACTTTTAAAGTTTTTTTAACAAGACTTCGAGTAAACAATACACCTTTATAAAATACTATTAAATCAGTTGAGCGGTTTTAGAGATTACCGTGAACGAACGTGACACGGCATTCTTTAATGTCACAGGCACACCGTTTGTGACGTTATACTTTAAATTCGCAATTTTTTTATAACCCAGAACATTTACACTGCTCGATCTGTTCTCAACTTAAGCTCTGATTAGTACATAACAGCGCAGTTGTTTAGTATGTATTATACAATAATATGTACTAAACAAGTGATAGAAGTACTTAAATACATTTTTATGTATATATAAAAAATACCCAGATTGCTCTGTTAAATAAAAAAAATGACACAGTACACAGACAACTACACAAAATCTATCTCGGTAAGAATAGGCCGGTTGTAGAATTGATGTTCTCGTTGGTCTAGGGGTTTAATACATCGCTCTACTTCGATGGCTGCGAGTTCGATTCCTCTCACAATACAAACATTAACATTATTGATTATACTCACTCTTACCGAGATAGATTTTGTATAGTTGTCTGTGTACTTCTATCTCATTTTTTTTATTTAACAGAGCAACACACATGTAGCTAAGCAGCTGGTTTTGTAAAGTGTATTCTGAATCTTTGTAAACAACTGTTAGTTTGGAAGGCTATAAAGATATATGACTATGAAATTGTAATGAAGGCAATAGCAACCTTAGATAATGTATATATTGTTGTGTACAAATTATATTAATAACTATTCGCTCCGACTTCTTACGGGTCTACATGTATTATACATATAAACCTTCCTCTTGAATCACCAATAAATAGGTAAAAACTGCATTAAAATCCGTTGCGAAGCTCTAAGCGAACACATTGCTGAGGCATTTTATACTATGTAAAGATGTTTATTTATTTATTTATTTATCCTTTATTGCACTATCTATAATAATGTACAATTGGAGTGGCATTCTCTACCTATTCTCTCTAGAGAGGTAAAAACAGAAAGCGGTTGATGGACAGTAATGGGAAAAGGCATACTATATATACCTAACCTAGGTATATATGTCAAACATGTGTACTTTATTTAACGCCTAATATTTATATGTAATTTATATATTTAATATTAAGGCACTACCGAGTAAATCTGCACTTCCCGAAGGTTGGCTGGTAGAGAATGCCTATAGCGTGTGTGTTCTACTGGTTATACACGAACTGTGTTCTGAAGAATTGTTCGACATGATGCCCACGGCTACCTTTTACCATCGCACCATTTGCCATCGACAGGGAATTCATGCTCGCACGCTGGAAGCTAAATGGTCGCGGATAGTGCGGTTTCAGAGATGTTTTCCCCTGTGTACACTTGAATTGTGGAATGAACTGCTTGCCGAGGTTTTCTCGAGAGATTACCAATCCATGTTTGCCTATCTGATGGTAATCAAGCATACGGCCTATCTGTTGTAAAAGGTAAAGGTAAAGGTGTGAAAGGTAAAGGTTACTGTAATCTATGAACCTTAAGAAGCCTTAATATACTCTGTTTGAAAAACATAGGGCTGTTGTTTCTTGAGAATATATCAGCAGGTAGTTAATTCTACAATAGAATGCAATATAAAATAATTTATTCAAATAAACTTAATTTAAATACTTTTGAATAGTCATACATAATTATCCTTCTTTTAATCTATCGCTCATTCGGAAAGCTATCTCATCACAAGAAGAATGAGCAAGAAATTTTAGTGTTGCTCTATCTAATAATCGTTGTAACTTTATATTCTTAAGTCGAAACGTGTGAATACACAATAAGAATAAGTCAGTCATATTGAATAGAGGAGTCAGTCCTTACAAGCAGCACATGTTCACGAGTATGATATATGAGCCAGCCACCACTGTGCTCGAGCACATTTTAAGGAGCTCACCACGCCGTCTGTCATGTCTGGACATTTTAGTGAGCATGGGTACTTAAAATCATAATAAACATATAGCTCGTAGATGCGTGATCTCATGTAATAAGTTTTTTTTAATGCAAATGAGTTAAATATGTCACGACCATGTAATTATAACCATCGCCTATATCCATGAAATGCACCATCTACATCACAAAATACAATACGTAACTAATTATTACTCCATTGTGAGTTATAGACAAGCATGGCGTTACGTCTGATCCCTTTAGGCCTTATTGACCTCCACATTACAATGTTTTGTTCCCTGAATATTAATTACAGTGACACATAGTTCGAAGGCTACTAGCCATTGGGGATTTAATATGATAATTTTATTATCAAATTAATTAACATTGAATGGCTACATTTATCCAGCTGCGATCATATTTACCAGGCGCCCTGGGGAAAATTATAATTAATAATAATAATCCTAGGCAAGTCACAGAGTGCCATCTAGTTCCAAGCTAAGCAGAGTTTATGTTATGGGTGCTAGATAGCTGAAATAAATACTTAAATACATTTTTATAATTACATACATAATATACATTGGACTCGAATAGTCCAAATAAAACAATTATGCTAATAATAATACAAATGTTTGTATATTGTTGTATAGTTTGTACTGTGCAAGGAATATCTAACATTTATTTTAATAAATATTGTAAAGTTTGTGAAGTTGTATTGGTAATGTCTGGATCAACTGAATCGATTTCGAAAATACTTGTTTGATTTGGTAGATTATCGATTAAGGCTAAGGATTATATAACATCTCACTACGACCTATAAGAGCAGATATACAATGAAAAATGAATGACAAACATGGGAAATGTAATGCAAATGAAGTTACGCGGGTCAACTAATATTTTATATATAGAAAACCCGTACTTTAACAACAAACGCCATGGATGGGTATGTCAGCGATCTAGCAGTCTTCTACAATCCATCTTGAAACTTAAATGAAGTTATAATATTCTGCTGTAGGTTCAAAGTACTCAAGTGAACTATAGCAGTTATATTAATTAGAGCTGTTCCGAACTCATTTGTTAGTACATTCCCTACAATACGGAATGCCAAAGTATACGCATATTACCTCTTAATAAATAGAAGTGAATCATTAATACAGGAGTGTAAATTTTGCTATTCGGTATAACACTAAAATCCCGTGTAGATAGCACTACGTAATATCTATTTATAAATGTTCTTCTCATCACAAGAAATAAATTAACACTCGTTTGAGTACATAATACTGATACAAAATAATAATATATTTCGTACCTATTCAGTCTAAATATACTACTTGATATATAATTTAGTTTAGTTTTCCTGTTAACATTTAACAGGAAACATAAAACAATTAATGTCAAAGAAAATTATATAATTATGTGTCACTCAATTATTTTGAGTAACCTCCTTGTATAAATTTATATTTCATAGTTATAAGTAACTGCGACGAAATTTTAGGTAGGTAGAGTTTATTTACTTGACCTGACAATTATTTAAATGACATACTTAAACAACCTATACATTAAATGTGTGAAAAAAAAAAGATGCAGGATTAATCATTTCTTATCCACCTAAACTAAACTACAGTACACTAACTTTTTTTTAGTTAGCCACAGTTCTATAACGTGGCACGTCTGTTTAAAACAGAACAGCGTAAAAACCGGTGATTACTTTTTATTTCATGAATCATAATTTTGTAGTCATTTGTTTATGGAAGCGTAACATATAAATACATATGCATTTATTTTTTCGCGTTACTGTCCCGAGCTATTCGAGAACTGACCGATTATGACTCTTCAGGAGCTCTACTTCATTCGGTAACATTTTTTTTAATTATCATTTCAGTAAAAGAAGAGCTTTTTTAGCGACAAGATTAGATTTACAATCAGAATTTGGGTTTGTAAAATGATTAAAAAATTGGTTAGATTTAGTGACAATAACATAGGTATAATAAGACAAATAATCGAAACGAAAGAAATGATATTTTTAACAGATTCACGAAAACGTATAAATTGACATTCACGAATCGTAACGTACTGGTATTGTTCTGTTTGATCAACTAATATTTCACTGTTAATATAGAACTTTCTAGTCTGTTTTCGAAAGCTAACAATACTATTCCTACTATAGTCTTCACTGTTCGTTATACAATTATAGAAAGTAAAACCAACGTATACATCACCATATTGAGACCTCTCAAAACAATTTAATAGGCCTTACATCGGCTTTGTTTCATACAAAAGAAGGGGCGTTGGTGGGGTCATAATCAATGGTGATCCGATGCGCACAGGAACTGGGTATGGTCAGTGACCATAAATGTAGATTTATGATATGCTTAATAGTTAGCGAGAGTGGTTTTTATTTGCTGATACCTTTTTTGTCGATAACTGAGATATTGCATAAGGTGAGTAGATAAAAATATTGAAACAGGTTAGAGATTTATTAAGGTGGATTTGCACTAAAAGAATGAGTACGTACAAAACGTGCTGTATAGCTGTTGAAAAGTATTAGACTAATGAAAAAATTGTAACGAATAAAACAAAAGCAAAAATACCTACATATTTTTTCACGAATATAATTGAGAATATTTGTAATGCTCTCTTTTCTCAGAGGCAGACTTTATACAGAACTTTATTATTCTGTATCGCCAATTTCTGTCCTGCAGACTGAGCAACTTATTCTTTATTCTATTCTTCTTCACTTTTACTTTCTTCTTTCTTTTATTCTTGCTCTATGGTAATAATAAGTATAAATTATAAGCAATATATTATAAATAATTAGTATAGAATTATAGAAGAGGTACTTAATGTTGTCCCATTACTATCGCTGACATAAAAAAATTGTTTCTATTGTTACAGAGTTCAGGCATCTTCTGTACGTTCTTTTTAGCACACGCCATTAGAGAAAAACGAAAGATGTCCCTAAGGCATTCAATGTCTATCCGAGAAGGAATTTATGCGGCTGCTGATGACTCTCTCTTGGCCACTCCAACAGCGCCTACAGCTACCTTGCCAAAGTATTAATGGTGATATTATTTAAGATATAAATCATGCCAATGATTTCAATCAAATCTTCAACTCTAATCCAGTGATATTTTTCGTACTAAAACTAAACGTGTCCAGGCCATGTTCTTACCTGTATACAGACACCAGTTTTCTTGAATTATATACGTAATATATTAGGGTTTTATTCGTAAGTCTGATTATATCCTAAATAATAGAAATATGACTGAAATTAATCCAGTGGATTTACATAGATAATATTAACGTCAATATAAGTAAAATCATCAGTGCAAATTTTAAAATTTTGACATACCAAATAAACTAACCGTGAGCTTGTTTTCTGTAATTCCTGTAGAATTATTTCTTTTGCATTAATACGTGAAACTTTTTATTACTACTTATTTTATTGTAAGGTTATAATTAGGATAGACTCAAAGTGTGTGTTAAAGTATGCAACTCAAAGCGTGTGTTAAACTATGCAACCCAAAATGTGATGTCACAATATAAAAAATTGCACCAATCGGATGTGAAATAAATGGTGATGCCGATGTTGGGAGTGAAAGATTCAATTTGTCTTCAATAGATATAAAAAAAGTAAAGTTAAGAACAGTGAATTATTAGAAACTTTGAAGAAATACTCGTTACTTAGGCCAACTAAGTGTATGCATATGGTCATGAAAAATAATAAATTTTAATTTACTCAAACATGAGTGATATTACAAATGTTATTTTTGAGATTCGGATTAGCCTGCAACATTTGTGAAGTGTACGTTGATAAGAAAAAAATTTGACAATCTATTATTGTAATTAGCTACTTTCAGAGAAAAAAATATATAGGTACTTTTGTATTAATATAACGATCAATTTAATGCATTGAATGATGATTCTTTAAAACTTGACTTGTTATTTTATTAATAACAGTCACAATACAAATATGTTCGTATAACAAATCGCACAAAACATCTGGTGGAAAGTGATGGCTAAAGTCGTAGGTGTGGATGTCATAAATAACAAAGGGTGCACCGAAGATGTAGGTACAACGCATGCAGTATGCTCTTTTCGTTCTTGAAAAGTAGCCAATGTCTTTTAACAAAACCTCCGCAGGATTCAAGCCTACCCGAGCGGACCCATGAGACATACCTGCAGGATCTTTGATAAAGCATGCATTTACAATACAAACTATTGACAATTATTATTTCTATAGATTTTAGACAGTACTTACCTACCTGTGCAAACTTATACAATTTATAAAGAATACGTTTGCTCATTACATGTAATACTTTTATTGCAATGTTGATATTGACAACATTTGAAGGCTGTATTTTAACGTTTTCTCTTGAATCTTGAAAGTTGGATAGTGATCTAAATATGTTGTAGCGATGTGATAAAAAATATTTTAATATACTTAATTAACTTGATGTCACAACTGGTATAACAAAATGATGCTATTAAGAATATAAAGGTATTATAATTACTATAATTACAGCAATAATAATATAAAATATGATGCGTTATCATATTTTTAATGTAATTTGAATTAGTATTATTTTGTAATTCTAATTTAGCGAATGTATTCCAAATTATAAGGAAATTAAAATGAAAACGAACTTCAATTAGTTTTATGAATTACATTTTGAGTGTGTATTGTATTTTGAGTACAATTTAAAATTTGTACAATAATTTTCCTTTAAAGAACGTACACTTTAATTTTGGAAAATGAATGTGGAAACATAAATACCACAATGTTAGATATGGAATAATAACGAGGTTGTGTGTTTGTATTTAAATTGTGATTTTTAGATTGCTATTTTGATAATTATTGCTATACCTATTTATTAGTGTGATAATTTTGTCACAAAATTCTATTTAATAGATTACATGTTATTGTTTACATATTGTAAAGATAAATAAGTAATTATTTTCTATGATATATGTAACCTAATACGTAAAACATTTTTATCAATTAAAAATAAACGTATTGAGGTACCTACCAAGTATTTATAGAGTGTTTAGTAATTTTTGTACAATGGGTACATGAACAATGCTAAAATTGCTATATCTACATGTATTAGGTAGGTACATAGATCGAATAACTGCCAATTTTTAATTTATATGTATTAGCTTTATGACAATTTTTGTAGAATGACAATATATACTCGTAAATTTTATGATTCTATTCTTTCATTTTATGTTGCCCTTGTAGTGAAGTTTGATGATTCTCTACACAGTGATTTGTTTAAAAGTAAAGTTCAAACATCTTGTTTACAATTTTACTTGTTTATTTGTTCTACAAATGAGTCGCGATCCAGTGGTTTACTGTGTTTAAAACTAGCCAATACTAAAAAATAAGTAAATAATGTTAATAATCATAAATAACCCAGGACAATTAAGACAACGCTATATAGCCCCATGTTAAGCAGAGCTTGTGTTATAGATACTTGACAACTGATATAAATACATACATTTTTTTTGTAAATACATAAATAATATACATAGAAAACATCCAGACCGATACACGCAATCACACTCATAAATGCAAACATTTTTGCAGAGTGTAAAAAATCGAACCCACGACCATCGGAAGTAAAGCGGTGTGGTAAACCGCTAGACCACCGAGTCCGTCGTATATTAATATTAAACAACATTTTTTATTTTATTTCAATCCGAAAGATAACGGTACGTTCACCCCTTTTAGATATCAGAACCATCGCTGTAAATAAGCAAATTACTTATATAATACTTCGTTATATTACTAGTTTGCTTCGACATCAAGAGTTGAAAACAGTTTTGGCTACTCCAACCGGAATTACAGTCGTCAACATTTTAAAATAATCTTAAGATGAACTTCGATAAAGGAATTAAATACAAATTAAGGATGACGAAGCAACCATTACCTTGCATAGTTTATGTAGTAACATTGTAAGCTAGTTAAAGTCAAGTTTGTGCCAAATTTCGAGGTCGCACGTATGTAATCAAATCAGTCACATGAGGTTGTAATGACACACAGATCTGGTTGTCGACCTAGAGATTATATATTTTAATACAGATTTAGTAATGAAATGTATACCAATCGGCATCTAGTCCCAAACTAAGCATTGTGTTATGAATTCTAGACAACTAATATAAATAAATAGTTTTTTTTGTAAATCCTTATACCATACATAATACTGAGAAAACGCTCAGACAGATACAAAATATCATACATTAATATAAAAATTTCTATCGTATGAGGAATCGAACCCGCGACCATTGTAAGGCGCTAAATCGGTTATAACCATCGAGGCTGTCGAATTAAACAAAAAAATGAAACAGTACCTACAAGATCATCAACATTATCATTAATTGCAGTCCACTGCTGGACATAGGTCTTTTCCAAGGCACGCCACTGGGCATGACCTTCAGCCCTTCTCTTCCAGTTATTGCCCGCAACCCTACGTATGTCGTCGCTCCACCTAGCTGCAAAGCGCCCTATACTACGTTTACCAATTCGATACCAACAAAATAAGAGAAAATAAAAAAACAATTTGCATAACACTAAATTCAGTATGTTTATCAATTACATATTTGATATTTTCATTTATTTATTCATGAACAATGTACATTGTATTCGAAAGTTGATATGATAGATTGATAAATTTACAGATTGTCATAAAGAATGTTATTAATAATAAAAAATATCAAAAATCGTCAATTGAGTAGGCATTTCTCTATTAGTAGTGTTTTTTTTTCTTAAAGAAACTTAATTTGATCAATAATTTAAGTTCCTTCGGTAACCTATTATAAAGTATCACCGCTTGATTTCTTGGGCAATGTGATACTTTATAATAGATATTTTATAAAGTAGAAAGTAGAGTAGAAAGATACATTTATTTATATAATGCCTACACGCATTATTACTTTCTGTATTACCATGCTACTTGTTCTTAATATTTGTATTAATCGTGAACCATAGGAGGAAAATATTGTAGCGTCGTATTGGAACGTTCACGTTCAAGAGACATCAAGGTCGAGACACTGCAATGAATCGCTTCGAGCTTCGATCTTGGCCACTGAAACGTGCCCTTGTACCCTATTGTCGTGGTGATGACATAATTTGATCTTGACACTTCACCCGGTAGACAGCTACGGTATAACGATGCAATGAAATCGGGGAAGCCCCAATCGAATTCTGTCCTCATGGGTGGTCTACACATATATGTCAACTATACGAACGACCTCGTCCAAGTACGAGAGTTTTGGCTTCGGTATCACGACACACAATTTTGTACAAATTCGTATGTTTGGACTTCATAGTTTATTACTGGCCACTTAAAAGCCATTTTTTTACCTTTAAAAAGGATGTATAATTTAATAGAGTTGTTAGTTTTGTCATACGAAAATATATGATTTTTTTTACTCCTTTTTTTGCATCGATTTATTTTATATAGTTAGCGAGTAGATGCAATAGCTTTCTGCACATAAACCGACATACAAACATAATATCAATACATATCAATACATATATATAATATTATCCACCACATACTAGGTTGATTTTATTTATGCAATTCGAATGACAAACTAACCTGATAGTAAAAGGTGACCATAATGAACTGCACTTTATCAGATTTTTATTTCTTCTTAGAAGATTAAATATTTGGCAACAATGCTCCTCGTGAATTTTCTATTTAGATACATAAATTCCCAGAAATTCTAAAAATGGCTGACTCTTGTTTGTATTATATATTATGGTAAAGAAAATGGCTGACTTGAGTTTGTTATTTATACATTACGGCAAGAAGCTGTTGTATATTATCACGACTGTTATTTAATATAGGGTAATCAGAGATATCGTTTGACATCTTCTGCCCCAGTGGTCTAGCGGTTTGGCATAACGCTTTACTTCCAATTTTCGGGTTCGATTCCTCACACGCAATATTTGTATCCAATACGGGGGAAAGTAAGTCTACTGTCGTCTGTGTTACTAATTTTATTTATTTATTTAACTTCAATGCACAAAAATAAAGTGTACATATGGCGGACTAAACATCTAGCGGCGATATCTATCAGTCAACCATGAGTCGTACAGAGCAAGATTGTTGGCGATGCACTAATATAAATGTCAAAAAAAATATATAAAGTTATTAATATCATTAAAGATTAGTTTTGGTTTATTGCTTGATGTTTTATGTCACCAAATAGTCCGAAAGTTAAATAGATAAGGCCTTTAATCCATTAAGTCCATTTTATTACTTAATAGATTTATATTATTTTGTTTGTGGTATATGAAAGAGGAAATAAATAAAATTAGTGGTCGCCCTCACACAGGGCGACCACTAAATTTTATTTATATTTATAGTATATATTTATTAATAAATAAATAAAATTAGTGGTATTAGTATATTTATAATAATATTTATATTAACATTCTGCACTCATTCTCTATATAAAGTACAAGTGTGCTAAATTTCATTCTCCGTCC